GGAACGGAGAGGCTCCCCCGCCAGTCGGAGGAGTGAGGAAGGTTGGTATAAACACAGACATGCAGGGTGTTTTTTGATGAATACCTGACAAATAGGACATTGTAAAAGTCAGTATGACTTACAGCTCTTTTTGTGCTTTCAGGTTCTCAGGAGAGGAAGCTACAGCGGCGGTCAGTCAGGAGCAGGTCGGAGTCAGAGAGAGGCAGCGATCCTGTCCCTAAGAAGAAAACCAAAAAGGAACAGGTATCAGTGCTCCTCAGATATCCTGGTGTTTAGAAATGCACAGGTGGCATGTCCTCAGTTGGACCCCAGCTGGTTACATCACAGGCCTCCTCTCGCCACGTTCCTATAGTTTTTTGTTGTAATTAAGACAAATGTAGTCAAAATATAACAACAAGAAAATACACGAGGCTGCTCTGATGTAGGTGTATCAGTGGGACAGTGAAATCTGATCCAGGGAGCTCTGGGTGGAGTAACAACCTCACTAGCTTGAAGGCTTATCAGATGCCAAAACACTGCGCGGTGTCTTAGGCGAGAAAATTTTACAACAATTGAAAGTTTGGTACAGCAATATCATTTTTTTTCTAAATCGCACCAGTTGTCATTGGAATTTTACTGTCCATTTAACTGTCCATATCGTGTTGCATTGCACCAAAACTGAGGTAGATTCAGCTGTTTTTTTCCAGATAACCCTGAGGATTTCTTTTGCTGCTGGCACGCCTACTGCACCGACACTGTAGCCTTGTTGAAATGAATATGTGGGCTTCATTATTTTATATAGTGCTAATGATTGAATGTTCTTATTTAACCTCCTCACAGGTGGAGATGGCTCCTGAGACCACAATGAGGACAGGTTCACAAAAAGGTAGGAGGTCCTTCTTTCATGCCTCATGTCTGTCGTTGGAATTTCTTATTTCTCCAAGTTGAAATTCATCTTTCTTCTGTGATTCTCTAGGAGCCAGTGAGATCTCAGATGCCTGCAAGCCCCTGAAGAAGCGAAGCAGAGCATCTACAGATGTGGAGTTGGCTTCTTCTCAGTACAGAGACACCTCTGATTCGGACTCTAGAGGCCTCAGTGATCCACAGGTAGGCATAGAAGACATACAGGAATACCCACACATACAAAGAGGAAAGTGCAGTATTTCTCCTGTACACAAAATATATATAAATATACTTTTATAATATAAAAGTCAGAATATTTTGTCAGACCAACTTTCAGTCATCTGACTGTCAACATCTCAGTTTGACTTTTCCTATATGGAATTTTATTTTTGCATTTTTAATATCAGTTGCGACCCTGATTGTACCATGTTCTAGTCTGGATATCTACACAACCTGCAAGAGTAGTCAAACACAGTGACTTAAGTTTGGTGCATCTGTGCTTTATAAAACTGGATTCCTTTGCACAAAACACTTTAACACACAGGCTCCTTGTTTACCTCCCAGGGTTTATTTGGGAAGAGTCTTGATAGTCCAGCAGCAGCAGATGCAGATGCTTCAGATACTCAGTCTGTGGACTCCGGTTTGTCCCGTCAGGACAGCAGCACTGGCAAGAGAGACACTGTCTGTCAGGTCAGTGCTGACTGCTGCTCAGTCACCTGTTGCACTTTCTTTCACTCTCACAGGTAAAGAGTTATATGACGATCTGATCAACTTTCTGTCTGCGTTTTTATGCTTGTGTGCAGGTCTGCGAGGTGTATGGAGAGGGTTTGGTGGTATGTGAAGGGGACTGCAACAGACAATTTCACCTGGAGTGTCTTGGTCTGACATCCCTACCTGAAGGCAGATTTATCTGCTTGGAATGTAGAAATGGTGAGTGAATCGGAGCGAATCAGCTCAGTCTTCACTGTCACAGCTGTTGTGTTCAGCTCTTTGCTTTCATGGACTCTCTGTCATTCTTCTTCCAGGCAATCATCCTTGTTTTAGCTGTAAAACAGTGGGACCGGAGGTGACACGCTGCTCTGTGTCAGGATGTGGCTGTTACTACCACGAGGATTGTGCCCGCAAACTCCCGGGCACCACCAGCACTCCAGGCGGAGGCTTCTGCTGCCCCCAGCACAGCTGCTCTACCTGTTGCCTGGAGAGAGACCTGCAACGTGCCAGTAAAGGTAAAACTCTTACTTAAAACAAACCTGGTAAACAAGTAAATGAAACATAAAACTCACACTTTTGTAGCATGAGCATTTTGCAGAGGATTTGTCTCAATTAACATCTGAAATTTTTGTTAGATGTACTTTTAGTATGTAGTGTTTTAGTATTTTACATCCAGTCCCAATAGGAGTTGTATAGTTCTGAATTAGTTTATATAGTCCACAAGAGTCATTCACAACCTCTTTGTTTTGTGACACTTTTTAAAAAATGCCGTTTTTGTTTGTGGCACCTTGTCACAATTCCAGTGTGGATGAGTTCTTAGCGGTCTCACCAGAGAGATCTTTCCCTTTTAAGCTTCTCACATGGTTTCATTTTAGTAACAGTTTGAGCCCCACAAAGGTAATGTGATAATTTTTTAACACAAAAAGCCAAACAGTAAATATAGTTAGTATATGTGTGACAGAAGTTGGGGTTTTTTTTTTCCCCTTCTTTGCTCTACATATTTATCTCCTGACCCTTTGCACATACATCTAGGTTAGGAGCAAAGTGTGAATGTTAAGTGTCGAACCACATTTTCTGTTAAAATACAATAAAGCAAAGAGGAAAGGATACATTTTAATGTCTGATGTGTCTATATTTTCTCCTTCTGATTTCTTTTAGTTACAGCTGGGACCCAGAAAGGAATATGACCTAATTCATTATAAACTGCAGTGAACAGAGAGTGAGCGTATCACATGTGCTGCACTGTATCACAGCTACGTGGCTCATGTGATGGAGAGAGCAGTGCACTTTGTAGCTGTTGTGAACTCACTGAGCCTTTATCTCCCTCCCGTCTGCTTGCCATCCAGGCCGTCTGATGCGCTGTATTCGTTGTCCAGTGGCCTATCACACAGGAGACAGTTGCGTGGCGGCAGGCAGCGTCGTCCTCACCCATCATATCATGATCTGCAGCAACCACGGCAGCGCCAAGAGAAATGGCCTCCTCACTTCCCCCATCAACGTGGGCTGGTGCTTCCTGTGTGCCAGAGGTAAGTTCTCACCACTATACACACGCTAACAGCCTTCCTCTCCTACAGCTGTGATTGAGCGGTGAGCTTTTAACAGACGGGACATCCAAATTTCACCCCACTTGATGTTTTTGCCTCCTTCAGCCCTAAGCTTTCATCTTGTGATGAACAGCAAAATCAGTTCTTCTTACTTGCACTTCACAATGGAGCATCAGTAGGACCTGATCTGAGATTGTAGTTGTTTTTGTCCCCTTTTTTTTTTAGAATATAACAATTTCAGTCACATCTCATGAGTGAAAACTGACACTTCACATAATTTGCTTAGACATTTTATGTTCAGATATTTTAACTTTAATATTACATGTTTCATGTTCAGCATTGTTATACATGAATAGCAGTGCTGTGAAATGTTTGTTTTCCATCATGATACTAATACTGCAAATGATTCAGGTCATTACACTGCACTCCACTTAAAAAAAAATCCACCTATCCTGGATGATGATGAGTGAGAAAACACAGAATTTACCATTTTTATGACTTTGATGTTTCGTCTGCCAAACAATAAGTTGAGTGCACTGTTTGGCCTCTTTGTGTTCCACAGTCTTTCTTTTACTAATTTCTTTCTCGTGTTATAACCGTGTGTGTGTTTGCACGTGTGAGACTGTGTGTTTGTTCCTTCTCTTTTTTGTGAATTTTTGGGTAATTTCGAGTTTGACTGCGGCTCACCCCCGTCTCTTCCTGTGTGTCTTGTGTAGGGCTGTTAGTGCAAGACCTTACTGACACCATATTAAGTTCATATGCCTATAAGTCCCACTACCTTCTGACTGAGTCAAATCGTGCTGAGTTGAAATTACCTATGATTCCCTCTCCTTCGTCAGCTACCAAAAAGAATGTTGGGAAAGGTAACTGAACAGTTTTTATCTTCCTCCTTTGTCCCACTGGTCTGTGTCTGCTGTGCCTGCTCCCATTCTGAATTGGCTTTATTTTTTTTTTTTTTTTTTTTTGACCTTACTGACACCATATTAAGTTCATATGCCTATAAGTCCCACTACCTTCTGACTGAGTCAAATCGTGCTGAGTTGAAATTACCTATGATTCCCTCTCCTTCGTCAGCTACCAAAAAGAATGTTGGGAAAGGTAACTGAACAGTTTTTATCTTCCTCCTTTGTCCCACTGGTCTGTGTCTGCTGTGCCTGCTCCCATTCTGAATTTTGGTCTTCTTTTTTTTTTTTTTTTTTTTTTTTTTTTTTTTTTGTTACACATCTTTCATTTGAAAGCCTTAAGGTGCAAAGTCAATTAACTGGTTTAACGTGCAGTTAATTTAAAGCAGAGTGATGCAAAGTAACCTCAGCCAAGCTCCCTAACTCATTAACAAGTGGGCCTCATGCAAGAACATTTTTGAGTTCTCATCCCAAACTCCTCCTTTTTGGGGGGTTTATGAGAAATCAGGTTAACAGACTGAACTTGTTGTAAACAGGCCTTTTTCACAGACATTTTGACATGTCACGGTAGCTACAGCATCGGGTTGTATTGTAGTAACTAAATCAATTCACTTTAGTTGCTTCAGTTTCAGGGTTCTGGTATTGTTCATGCTGGCTCACGGTCACAGTGCCATGGATTATCCGGTCACTTGAGTAGAAAGGAGTCACCATGAAGGCTATATTGGTAACAACAGTACACTTCCTACTATGACAAGTTAAAATGTCTGCTGTGAAAAACACTAGTTGCTTGTTTCATCTTGATGAATGTCACCTGTTTACTGCATCATCGTTTTGGATGAGTGATGTCCTAAAATCGCTATAATAGGCAATAATGTGCCGCTTCACTGGTGGGTGACTTTCATTCAGGAGTATACAGAAAAGCTGTTGGAAATCAGCAAAGGAAAGAATGAAAGGTATGTGATATCATGGAGATGGATATTATTCAGCGGATAGTAAAACCCTGTTAGGTGTAGCAGAGGATTTTTTTAATATTAAAAGAGCTTGTTGAATCTCTCCGTTAATTGGCAAGCCATGATTATTTGATCTATTGTAGTAATCCATTTTTGTTTAGTAGCTCATATCTATCTCATTTGATTTGGGCATCATATGTATATAAAGTTAACTTGCATTAAGGCCTGATGAATCTCATTGTGATTCAGACTGTCTAACAGCCATTGGCCAAATTTCTGTATATGACTTGCACAACAGATCTGGATTCTTGCTCATGAATCTTGTCAAACCCAAGAAACAATCAAACTGGTGAATGCAACAAGTTCTCTTAAATCACTTGTATGTGCCACTTAAGAACAAATCTGTTCCTGTGAGTTCTTGCATGAGGCCCATTGTGAGATTGGTTTGTGCTGTGCATGAACAGTCAATCTGGGTATATATTGCTGCAATAAAGTTTTTATAAACAGCATAAGTTTCCGTGAGTGAAATTTCTCTGCTGGGAAATTTTAATTGGTCATTAAACTTCGAGCTGTTAAACTGCTGGATGATGCAGGATGCTCTGCATTAGTTCAGTCTTTGTCCGTGGTTTGTGGAGCTTATCGCTGCTGGAGGCGCACTGCTTCTCTGCTTCAGCACTCTGGGCTTGTTTTTGATTTGAAAGGCCTTGTTTAGTCCCACCTCTTTTATGGTGACTGCATCCAAGTTTTATTTTTCACAGAAATGTTCAGATGAAATGAAGGTTTGTCTCACCTCATTTTCTTTCTTTGACCTGCCTTGGATGGAATGTAATCCCAATCAGGAGTAGGGTCCATGAAATTACTCTTTAAAGTTTTGATGTTAGTACTACATTTCAGAAAACGACAAAACATTTTTCAAATTGCAGAATTATAAAACTATATGATTCCATGCAAGCTGGTCTGTGCAGGATGCAGTATGTGTGATGGGAAAAGTTTGCTTTATGAGCAGGACTGCATGCCTGCTTTTTGCCAATACTTTGTTATTTGAGTATAACCCTGATTCATTGGCTGATTTTATTCCTTGCTGCCGCATGTATTTCTTATAGACTGGTCTTGGTACATTTCTCTGAATCTGATTGCCAGACATGCTGTAACTGCTGCAGTAGAAGTTGTTACTGGCTTGAGAACCCCATGCAAGAGTTTTGCAGTCATCTTCAGGTCTTTTCATGCAGTATGGCTGTCACAGCAAAGTGCTCCTGGTCTTAGTTTTTCATTTCAGAATAAAGGGTACAGTAGGTTTTATTGTAGTAGCTTGAATTGGTGCTGTGTTCGCAAACCTGTCAGGTTCAGTTTAGTAGTTTGACTTTCTTAGGCTTGTCTGCAAATGAGATTTAGAGTTTGTCCAGGTTTTAAGGTGCATCACCTAATCATACACTCCTCCTGTCTTTGCATACCCATTTCCCACAACGCATGTGCACACACACACACACACACACACACACACACACACATGTGTACATCCATACAAATTTAGGAGGCAAGTTGCTCTGCTGTGACTCATGCCCAGCTTCCTTCCACCCGGAGTGTCTGGAGATGGAGATGCCAGAGGGTGCGTGGTCCTGCAGCGATTGCAGGGCAGGGAAGAAACCTCACTACAAACAGATTGTCTGGGTCAAACTTGGCAACTACAGGTACGCAGAGACCACTGATAATAGACTGCTGAGGGTTGTGCAACTGTCAGATTATGGTATGGTGACATTTTCAGGATAAGTCTTGTGATATTCTGTTCTTTTCTTGTTATCAAGAAAATACCAAATCTAACAATGAATGGATCTAACAAGTGTTACCTGTAGACAGATTCTGATATAACTCATTCCCCAGAGCTGTAGACAAACAAACATGTAACATATCACCAGTCTTATTCTTGAAATTCAATAGAACAGGTTTGCTTTGCACCTCACACTGAAAAAGGAAGTGATGTGTTGTTATAGAAAAGGAAATGTTGAGCGACCACAGCAGTGTTTCCTGCCTGTGAGCTTTAATATTTATGCTGCATTTTATAGTCTGCTGGCAAAATCACCATTTCTATTGGTCAGACATGTAGAGCATGTAGGTCAGGGTTCAAGTGCACATCAACAATGAATTTGCAGGAGCTTTGTTGCCAGACACTTAAAAATTCACATCATTATCATTCACATAAGTTTTAATTGGAAAGAATGAGAAGCATAGGTGTGTAAAGTTTGGTGCAAGTGTGGCACTACTCTCAGGCTACAATAACTTGGTTGCTTGTTTTGTAATGCAACTGCACACTCCTCTGGTCACTTTTCACCCTTTGTCTTATTAAAAAAACATCCCTGTCCATTTCCCCTGCAGGTGGTGGCCGGCGGAGATCTGTAATCCTCGCTTGGTGCCATCAAACATTCAGAGCCTTCGCCACGACATCGGTGATTTCCCTGTGTTCTTCTTTGGCTCCCATGACTACTACTGGATTAACCAGGGCCGAGTCTTCCCCTACGTGGAGAATGACAAGAACTTTGTCACGGGTCAGATCAACATCAACAAAACCTTCAAGAAAGGTAATTTGTTTCTCGAACGTTTCCTCCTATCTGAAGATAAATCTGCTGTGATTTCATCTTGTAAAGCTGTAGGAAGGAAGAATTTCTGAGATGATGTTGGTGTGTTTCAGCTCTGGAAGAAGCAGCCCGGCGGTTTCAGGAGCTTAAGGCACAGAGGGAGAGCAGGGAGGCTTTAGAGCAGGAACGCAACTCTCGCAAACCTCCACCCTACAAATTCATCAAGGTATTGTTATTTTAATATGTCACTTAAGACAATCTGTGTGCATTGAAATTATGACCAAGTTCTCAGTGTTTTTACTTATTCTGTGGCTGTGATTTCTTGTACCAGTCCAACAAACCAGTGGGGAAAGTACAGATACATGTAGCTGACTTGTCAGAAATCCCACGATGCAACTGCAGACCAACAGATGAGCATCCTTGCAGCATTGACTCCCAGTGTCTCAACCGCATGCTGCAGTATGAGTGTCATCCACAGGTGTGTGTGGATATTTGCTTTCCGTTGTTCATCTGATTTTTGAGCATTTTAGACCAGTGAGACCTTCATGAGAAATCACATTTCTTACCTTTTAATGTTCTTGTTGTCAGGTGTGTCCTGCAGGAGATAGCTGTGAGAACCAGTGTTTCACCAAGCGGCTGTATGCAGAGACAGAAGTGTTTAAGACAGAAGGTCGTGGCTGGGGCCTCAGGACCAACCAGGCTCTCAGGAAGGTGGGTGTTATTGTCCAGTCCTTTCACCCAAAAAACGTCAACATGTCATGGTTATTTATTCATATGTAATTTGATCTTAAATGCTAACTAAACCAATCCTAAATCATGAATGTCTTGACTATCAAGCATTTGCCTTATCTAGCTTCCTATAATATAATCATATGTACAAAACGGATTGAAAACTGGATTTACCATTTTACAGTTCTATGCCTCTGCCAGCCAGTCAAATTCACCGGTATGGAACAGAAGTGAGGTCTATGACCTTGACCTTTGACCACCAAAATATAATCAGTTCATCCTTGAGTCAAAGTGGACATGTGTCAAATTTGAAGAAATTCCCTCAAGGCGGTCCTGACATGGCATTCACAAGAATCGTACAGATGTATAGACAGACAACCCAAAAACATGACACCTCCAGCGCGTAGGCATAAAAGCAGACAATTAGGCAAGGCAGCTTTAGTTTTATAGCAGATTCCACATATAGGCATTGAAAGTGACTTATAAAGGCAAAGAGAAACCTTAATAGCATTAAAAAATAATCGGTATTAAAACCAGAATAAAGTAATTTAAGACAAAAAAAGGGATAAAACATTGTTAAAATGAGATAAAATTACAATAACATCAAACCGATGAAATACAAGGTCTGATAGTGCAGTTCATATGTTGTAGGTTGCCCCAAATGCAACACAGAAAAGAGAAGTGCAGCAGAGAAACCAATCAGTCAAAGGCACAGGAAAACACAGTTGATTTTCTTTGGTGTGCTTGATGTTTGTTGTTTTTCTTCAGGGTGACTTTGTGAAAGAGTACGTGGGAGAGGTGATAGACTCTGAGGAGTGCCAGCAGCGAATCAAGCGTGCCCATGAAAATCATGTGACCAACTTCTACATGCTCACCCTCACCAAGGTAATGTCAGTGATGCTGATAAACACAGAAACATTGTTCGGAGGAGAGACCCCCATCAGGGGGGTTAAACACCCCTGCATTCATAATGTCCGTCTGTCGTCACAGGATCGTGTGATAGACGCCGGCCCAAAAGGAAACTCATCTCGGTTTATGAACCACAGCTGCAGTCCAAACTGTGAAACCCAAAAGTGGACGGTAAATGGAGACGTGCGCATCGGACTCTTCGCCCTCTGTGACATTGATGCTGGTGGGCTCACGTGGACATCACACGTGCTTATATGCAGTATATTCTGTTACATTCCTACATATATATTGCATGCCGTCAGAACCAGATGATCTGCTTGATGTGAATCGTGTCTATGGTGCTCCTGCAGGCACAGAGCTGACGTTCAATTACAACCTGCACTGTGTGGGCAACAGGAGAACATCCTGCCACTGTGGCTCAGACAATTGCTCTGGTTTCCTCGGGGTCCAGCCAACGGTTAGAACATTCACCTCTCATCATTATTAATCCACTTCTGTAGTACTTCCTTCCTCAGAGCAATCCTGACTTTGGAAGTTGTCTTTTTCGAACGTTTCCTCCAGAGTGCTGTGGTGATGGAGAAAGAGGAGAAGGCCAGGAACGCCAAACTGAAGCCGAAGAAGCGGAAGCTGCGGCCGGAGAGCAAACACACACACGAATACTTTTGTTTTTACTGTGGAGAAGGAGGAGAGCTGGTGATGTGCGACAGGAAGGACTGTCCTAAAGCATACCACCTGCTGTGTCTCAACCTCGCCAAACCGCCGTACGGTAATGACAAAATCTATAGATACACAGTTTCAAACCTTTTGCTCATAACTGGTATTTTTCTTGTACATCTGATTCAAGTAATATTTATGGTTTCACTACAGTAGTACTTTGTTTTAACACGATTCTCTGAGATCATGTAAACATAAAAACACTCATTTATCCTGACGTACTACTGCAGAGTAACGTAACGCTGAAGGACAAAACCAAAAATCTTTTGTCTTAACAAGTCAGTTCCTATAGTAGGGTTCCTGACTTTTTTTGGTTTGTGACTCCTCAAAACATTCAGATTATGGTTGCACATGTTCACTAGCTTTAAAATGTGACCTGTCTCTTGCTTTACTTGAACAAATTTTTGAGGCCTGGAGATGTAATCCTGTCAGAGTAATTCCCCTTATCTTTCTTTTTCTTTTTTGGGGAAAACACTTTCTTCTGTTTTCTTATCCAGTAAAGTTTTATTGGTTACTATGAAAATACATATACAGTAGTAAAAATGTGTCTCATGCCAGTTTGTAATCCTATATGCATGTTTAACATAAATATGTGGATATATAGTTTTGTGCAGACATGAGGATGCCTTCAGAAATAATGCCATGTATAGTTTTTATTTAACAGATAACTTCATATAAAGTGGACTAAACAGAAAAAAAAATTGGCATTTGTTGTGACCACACTTTGTCTTTAAAGCAGCACTGATTCTCTTTGGTACATTTACACACAGTTTTTCAAGGTACTTGTCAGCTGGGATGCTCCTGTCATCTTTGCAAACCTGCCACAGTTCTTCTGTGGATTTAAAGTGTCTCGGTGTGTTCTGTTGCTTCATGTGATCCCAGACTGACTGGATGATGTGGAGCTCTGTAGGGGCAGACCATCTGTTGCAGGACTCCTTGTTCTTCTTGTCTCTGAAGATACTTCTTTTTGACTTTGACTATATGTTTGGGTTGTTGTCATGCTGCACTTCAGGACATATGAGGGGTACTGTGTGATGGATAAGACAACAACTGCACAAGTAACCCTGGTTGGAAGTCACTGTTTTAACCTTCTGTCTCCATAATGACCTCTTTTCCTGTCTGCAGGACGTTGGGAATGTCCATGGCATGACTGCAGTGTTTGTGGTGCTCCAGCCTCATCTCTCTGTGACTTCTGCCCTCGTTCGTTCTGCCCAGATCACGAGGCAGGGGCTCTCACCGCCTCCTCCCTAGAAGGCCGCCCTTGTTGCTCCAGTCACAACCCCCTCAGTCCCCTGGGTACCAACTCCAACACAACCCAGCTGCTCTGCTCTGCTCTGAGCCCTGTGAAGGTCAAAGAGGAGCCTGAGGCAGAGCTGGGGCAGCAGGACACAGAGTGACACTGCAGCTCCCTCAATACCTCATTCCCTATAAAGTGCACTCCTGTTGGCCCGTTGGGCTGTGATCCACTTCGGATCGGAAGCAGTGCACTACAAAAGGGAATACAGTGCGTTGTGACCAGTGCGATGGTCGCTGTTCAGAGCTGGGACACATCGATGAACACTGCAGAGCGACTTGAGTGTGGGCAGGGGAAATGACCAGGCGTCACTGTGCGCCATTTTCCCTCCCCTCCTGCCATAAAACACCACCACTAACGTGCTCTACTGATCGCCTGCGCCTGTCGGAGGGCCCGGACCACCACCTCATTATGTTTGGTTTTTTACTTCTGTGGAAATTTTACATATTGTCACGTCGTCAGTTACTGGCACTTTGAAGAACTCAGCATGGTGGAGGGAGAGGTATGGAGGAGGAGGAGGAGGAAATGTAAAGCTCAACCTCTCCACCACCATGCTGCTCCTCTCCTTGTTTACCTGCTGTAAGCTGCGGTTGGCATCTTAAACAAAGGAAGGCGTTACGGAGACGAGCCAGCCTTTCTCCATCACTCCTGACGTGATCCATCATCATATTTATATCTTGTTTTTGGAGAAAAGGAGGGAAATAATGATTTGTGCAATTTTTTTCAGGACCACACTACATTCCAACCTTCCTTAAACATGGTTTTAATATACTTATGGGTATAGATGAATATAATTATATACAGTATCTATGTTTGTTAATGTTTACAGACAGATTCTCTCACTTCATCTCAGTGAGTGGTGTATTATGTTTGTTTGTTTAGGTGTTAAGCATTACGCAGACCTCCTTGTGAAAATAGTCCTATTAAGGTGAAATATAATGGTATATAGTGTAATGGTATGACATTACAGAAGTACTTGTGATTTTCATATTACCAGTCACTCACCATTGTGTACATACTGTAATTGGCTCATAATATTGTAAAGTACTTAAAGATCAGGAAGGACGGAGCTTTGCCTCTCTGGTTGTTCCTGGAGGAAGGACATGCTTTTTTAAACAAAAAGATCCTTTTTATTTTCTTTTTCAAGAAAAGTTCTGTTCTCACATTTCCTCCAAACAGTTACTGTATTGTAGATGGAGGGGCCCAGCTTGTGATCACTGGTGCTGTCTTAAAGTATTGTTAACCAGCCTTAAGTTTGATTCTGGCTATAGTAACTACTGCCCAGATGGAGTTCATTTTTTGTAATGTTGTGTACTGTGACCGCTTTGATGCCTTTTTTTTTTGTTTGTTTGTTTTGCCAGACTTTTCTGAAAAGCACTTTCACACTGCTTCTCGCTACACGACTTAGCTAGGCCATACATATACAGAAATGTATATTAAAAGAACATATGACAAGTGTTTCAAAATCGATACCTCTTCTTTGTGTAGTAACGTCGGAATTTAAACTGTGTTGTAACTTTTTTCCTCCCGCTCAGAATGTGGTGAGCGCTGGACGTGGCTTTTTGAGGAAAGTGGCCTAAAAAGTTCTTTTTTTTTTTTTTTTTTTTTTTTTTTTTTTTTTTTTTGGTAGGAGGAGTGACTGTAGGTATGGCTTCCTACAAACTATTTCTCTGTGTCCTCAGGAGACACTTCTTCATTTTCCACCTGAAGAACATCCTTGAGGCTGGGTTTTATATAAAGACAGAATAGCATAACAGTCCAGTCCAGTATAATGTACAAATACAAACTTCTGTACAGTGTTTTTAATCGCTCATCTGTCAAATCCAGATTTTTTGTATTTCTTGCACCACATTTTATAACAGTTTCTTTTTCAAACACCAGTGCAGTAATTTGTCTCCCCTCCACCACGATGTAAGAGAAATAGATTATTTAAAAAACACAGGGAGTTTTACATGATATATCTGTCTAGTTATTGCATAGGTTTTGTGGGCTATTTTTTTTTTTGTTTGTTTGTTTTTACATTTGGTGTAATGATTCCACATTTGGTAACAGCAGCTGCTCCTTGACCTTTAGTGTGAGTCACTGGAATTGGCGTTAAAAGCAGTGGCAAGCCGTTGAATATTGGGATGTAAAGCTTCAGTTTCAGTTGGACTCAAAGTGCTCACGACAGGATGATGTTTTTCTATAATTATGCCTCGGCCTTTCGCTTGTAATTCTTCCCTGTTTGTTTGCGTTGTGTGCCCTTAAAAATATGTTTTTCTTTAAAAAGCTGTAGTAGTTGGTTGATGGTAGTGGTCGAATGCAGAGAGTAGGTCCGCTCGGCTGCCAGTTTATTAGGAACAACTGGTTAATTCAGAGAGGTTCTGATTCAACTGTATGATCATTTTGGAGGCTGTAGTTTGTACTGCTGTAGAATTGTATGGTGTTATATTTATGTCTGTTATTCTCATTTATATCAGTGAGGCTAGGCTAACAGTACAGCTCACTAGCAGCACAAATTACATCTTCCAAATTGAACACATTTTTCTAAATCAAAAAAAGGAACTATCACCTTTGTGAAGTGAGGGTTTATTGAAAAGTTGTTGTATTATAGTGCATTAGGTTTGACTAGGTGCACCTAATAAACTGGCAGCTGAGTGTAAATCATGAGGGGAAAAAGCCTAAGGAAAGAGCAGGAGAAGGGCAGTCATTGAATGCAGAAAAGTAGAAAATTTCAGATGTTTTAAGAGAAAAATACTTTGCTTGGGAAAAATATTTGCATTTGATGCTTTTTCCACAAAAAGTTAAATAGTATTTAAAATTACATCTGTTCCTTCTCCCTCACTGACAGGCCAGACCCTATAAATAATGCGAATAATCTTTGATTCAAAAGCATAACTGTTGGCCGTGTCTCCTGCGTTTCTGTGTGCTTCAGTTTTAAGGTTCCACATCATAAGTTGTAACTCGTTGCAAAGTCACAAAACCATCTTTTGTATTCGTGTCTTAAATTCAGATTTAAATTGAGAACAGAGAATTTTTTTTCCCTCTTCAGTAGATTCATTTAAAAACACCCCTCCTGTGTCAAACTTTGCGTTTACATCCTTATACACAGTGAAGGTCGAACACTGAAGTAAAACAACAATAACCATAACAAATTATTGAGTAGATGGAGCCTTTACTATGGTAAATTTTTGCACAAATACCGTTGCAATAAGAACACAGAAAAAGGCTTGAATTTATTTTTCTCTTTCTTATGCCATTAAGTATTGGTAAACAGACTCAGCCGGTTACATTTTCTCACTTTTCTGCATTGAACAGCGCCTCTCCCGTCTTTCTTTGTATTCTCATCGACCCTTTGAGGAATTCTTTCTGTGCTGACTTTTGTAGATTCTTTAAAAAAAGACTAAACTTGCTGATTTCCTAATCAGTTGATTATTCATTATCAGGCAGGCTAGTGCATCGGTAATGCACCTTTTCTTTACATACTCGGAATGGTTTGCGTGTCTAAACTTGAATTTTTATTTTTTATTTATTGATTTATTCCTACATATGTGATTATCAGACCGAAGTCATCCTTGAACCTTGTGTTTGTGGCTTCAGAAAAAGATGTCTGACTGATGTCTTGTGATGACAAAACTGATCTTAAAGCCTTTTTTTCCTTTTTTCATTTCGAGGAGACTGTTGTTCAGCTGAAATGCATGCTTCAAACATCAGACACTGGTTTATTCTACCTATTTTCTGAGTTATTTATAAATGCCTGATGTTTTGTTTTTATGTGTTTATTTTCTGTTTTACCATATTGCACAGTGGTTTTGCAAAACCAAACGGCCTTTGTTTTTTCTACCCCTGCAGATTGCATGATCTTGAAGTTCTTTTTGCCAGTTTGTCCTCTTCTTCCCATCTCAGCTGATACAGCAGCAGTATTACGTACACCTAATTTAAGTGTCCCAGCATGCATCTTTTCATTTACTTAAGATACTATCTGATGTATGTGTATGTGTGTATGTTATGCTGGGCTACTCTGTGTAGTGCTCATATTTTTATTTTGAGCAGAAAGCTTATTTGTTCTCATTTAAGTGACCCTTAAATACGATTGAGGAGGATTTTTCTAAGTGTCCAGGAATTTAATTATTATTATAATTTGATATATGCTTACATTTAGGATGGACCACCCCCCTTGTATGTGAAAGGGTATGTTTGAGTTCACTGAGGTCTTTTGGTTTTTGTACAATGTTCCAGATTGTCTTTGAGTTTGTAGTTGACATGCTGTCAGAGGACAAATAATGTCGGAATAAATAAATAATTTGACCTTCATAAGCACATCAGCTCTTTTTTACTTGTAGTAAGATTGCTTACAGTAACTCTAACTGGGGACGTATATCTCTCTTGGTGTTGCTTCAATTAAAATGTGGATGAACCCAAAATACCATGTCAATTACTGTTCAACCTGTGTTAATGCATATTGTTGGAGAACCTGTAAATAGTTTGCATTGAACTTGCATAGATTCATGTTACTGTGGCGTGCTCTTTTTGCCTGTACAATTCTGCTTCTAAATGTGTGTGACTGTTGAGACTACACTCATTTTGTACATGACTGTCTTTTTATTTGAGAATATTAATTCTGTCTTTTTCATTCTAAAGTTGAGTTTAAAGAGTTCAGACATGCCTGAAGTTTGACTTTAATAAAGCTGTACTCTGTCTCAGTGAAATAGTCACTGCATGTGATTTTTTTTTTTTTTTAATAGCCTGATATTTTGGTGAAAACAGTGAACCAGATAAAGACTGACCTTCTTGTTTAAGTGTTTGTAATAGCCAGATTTTTATTGTCTTTAGAAAGCAGACAACAGCTTATGGGCAAAAAACTGATGGAAAACAAAAAAATGAAGGTAATTAGTATTAAAGATGAATTTATTACTTAATTGACAGAAAATATATTGGTGACTATTCTGATAATGTATTAATCATTTTAGGCATTTTCAAGCAAAATTTCCAAATATTTACTGCTTAAAGCTTTGGAAGCAACAGCTAAGATCTACACACTGTCAAAAATCCCAGAGAGGCACAAAGAGTTTCTTTAAAACCTTTGGCAACTTGTCATATAATACATGGAAACTAGAGTAAATCATTTACTTAGAGACCACACACCTGTGGCTAATCATGGAATAGGGCTTAACATAGGCACAACTGTGTTGCCACATATGAAATTATGGATTAAGGATTCTCAAATGTGTTCATTTGATGCTTTTCTTCATAGCTAACTTGATTTTTTCACAATTTTCTGACATTTTATAGACAAAGCAAATAATCAATGGAGAAAATTACAGGCAGATTATCTGATAATTTAAAAATGCTGGTGAGTCTTACAAGTAATGAAGTAATGTTGATTCCATGGTCAGTAGGGAAAAAATGATTAATAAAGTGTGTTTCTAGTGAGAGATTCACTTAAATAAATCACAGTACAAATCGATCTATTGTCATTACAATAGATCGAAATGAAATGAAGCAGCTTAAATTGAAAGTATAATACTATGAAACGGGATAAACCGGACAAATTACATTTTAATTGGTCTGACAGGGAAATGTTGTCATTCATTGTGAATTTTTCCTCTAGGTGGCACCTCTGTCAGGTGACGTGGCTTCTTGCATCCACGTGTCAAGACAGAAAAAAATAAACGTATACCATTTCCGGTTTACAAAGCGCCACAGAACATCCAAAATAATTTGTCTCAAACCTAAAATACCGCTTTTGTCCATGTAATCGTTCAAACAAATCATGAATCGGTACAGCGAGCATGCATCCGTTTATTACAAGTCACTGATAAATATTTATGTCAACTAGTTCGATCACCACCTACTGAGACTAAAAGTGTCTTAAATCATGTCACACTGTATAAAGATGGTTTTTGAAATCCTGTGTTCAAAGCCTGTTATAATTAAAACAATAAATAATGTGATTCTTACAAGCTTATTCTTGCAAATAATTTTATATGGATGTTTCATTTTGCCAGTACTCATACTGGAATATGATGCTAAAAGATTTCATGTATTGAAGAAAATAATATTCAGTCAAAATCGCCAGAATTAGCTAGTTTGTGGGCCTGGAACTGGTTATTTTTGTCATATGACATTTTTAATATTGCTTGTGCTCGTTTTACTACTTTTAATTTGAAAATCCCAAACCTGAAGTAGCTGTGATGGTACCTGTTCAACTTCACACAGCGCTCATCTTCGTAGCATCCCGGTCTTCGGTCTTCAGTCTTCAGATGTGGAAGCTCCATCGTCGGCAGAAGCAGAGCATGTGGAGGCCGGATTCATGATAACGGCACATGTTAATATGAAGACAAGGAGATAAAAAAAAACGACCTGTCTAAGGTTAGTAACCGACCTGGGAGTCCCTGTTTGACAAGGCGGAAATGGGCCAGATGTCTTGTTTGACAGATGTTGCTAACTAGCATAGCAGACTAAGGTTCGCTAACACCTTTATACAGCACAAGGATTTAATATTAACTTATTTGCCTCGTTTCGGGTACTGACAGAGGCTGGAGGAGGTGCATTTAATCTCGCTGTCATTAAAAACTTAATGCTTAATGTTATATCCAACCAAAGGCGTCTAAATATGTGCATCACCTAGAATTTGAGAGCACAGGTGCAGCAGGTTGGCCAGGTTTTTTAGACAGGGCAGGAGCAACACAGAGTAAAAACTTAAACATACTCAATGTTATCTTTACCAGTATTCCACCTGGTAAATACTCAAAGTAAAAGTAGTGGAGATGCATTGTAGAAAGGAGAATATTTCCCTTATTTGTTAAGTTTTGTGTATTTCTTTTTTTTTTATTATTCTCAGGCACAAATAAAAACTAAGGAACCACTGCTTATGTGGGACTGTCAGACAGGGCAAAGTGGGCAAGTGCCCCAGGGCCGTTGGCTCCATGGGCCCCCAAAAGTTTACCTTAAACTGGTTGTACTGTGTATGAATTGGAACCAGATCAGATCAGATCCTTCTTTCCTTGACGCTTTGACATAGTGACGTGTAGGTTTAAACTGTTCTAAGACTGTTATTATTTTAGTTAGTTTTATCCTCCTACTGTATGTATCTATCTAAAAAAACTGTGCTTTACTTAAATACACTGAAACTGAGGCAAAATGTTATCATTTCCAGAGTAGAATGTTTATTATTATTATCACTTATATATTTCTCTGAAAATATTTTAGAATTAATTACTTACTTAGGGTATAACATTTTAGAAAATTGTACATGCATGCATCTACACGCAGCTGGTTAATATAGTTAATGTTTTTACACTTGCGAACCCGCTACCCCTCTACCAAATGAACAATAATCTTCACATTATTTAGATAGCAGTTTAACATCTAGCAGCATTTAGTGACACTATAAACTAATCTTCTCAATTTTCTTCAGTCCCAGCTGAGATAAAACTAGGTGGAGTGATGATGCTTGCTGTTGACTGAGGTCCATGCCGAGACACAAAATGAAGAGTAGGCTGCTCCGTGGTTTTCTGTCGGAAGTTTTCGTCCGGATGGCACTTTTAGTGGTGTTTCTGTAAGTATGACCTCCGTATGAACCATATCTATGGATGTATAATTTCATTTGCAATATTACTATATGAGTCCATTATCTTAAATGTACGTATTGTGTATACGTTTTTTTTTTTTATGGCTGGAAAACAAATACCAATATAACTCTTTTGTTTTCTACTCTTAGTGTGACGGAGCAGCTTCCTCCTTTCTACCGTGAGATCCAGACAGAGGAGATGTGGTTGTATAAATTCCATCGTGTGGAGCGAGACCACGTGCCCACATTTCTTATGTTTGTAAGTAACATGTTTACAGGTTTGCGAGTTTTGAGCCCAGTTTTTAAGTTCAGTTCAGGTTTTGTACCCTCTTTTCTTTTATCCAAGAACAGTTGGTAGCACTTGGGAGCATTAACAATATAACCTCTCAGATTTAAACAGGGTTTGGAACAGGGAGTGACTCGCTGACATCTGAGCAATTGAAGACATGAGAGGGAGTAATTTATTGAAGTGGACTGCTAGCGCCTTATATTATGGGCCAGACAAAGAGGAGCTGTGCTCTTACCACCACACAGTCACTGTACATTGCACTGAGATTTCTCTCAAGCAGCATTTTATTTAACCATGGTTGGTAATGAGAACATTTTCGGAAAAGGGCGCCTTGCATCAGGCTGTTCAGAAAGTGCACCTGGCTCTGAAACAGTTCATCAGAATTTTCAGTTTCCTATACTTTAAAAACAAAGCAAATTAATTGATCTGAATCCTATTATTGTAGTTTTTCTCAGTAACTTTGGGTCATTGAAACATGACTGTCATTCTCAGAGTAACTGTACATCCTGAGGTTGACAAAAGTGCAATCCTAAATCGCTGGAGGACATTTGTAATTTGTCTTTGTTTTTGTCTGCATCAGTGTGTGGCGGTCTTCAGTCCACTGGTTGTAATCATGGTTTTCACCTTCCTGAAGAAGGCGGAGAGAGGGGACCTGAAAGAAGCCTCGCTGGGTAAGAAACAAACACATGCATACAAGTTTGTTTTTTTTTTTCATAGTAATAAAATGTCACCAAGTTTTCTCAGTTGACTTGTCCTTGTTCATGGTTCAGTTCTGTTTCCCCCTGTCATCCAGCTGTGACGCTGACTCTGGTGCTGAATGGAGTTTTCACCAATGTTATCAAACTTGTTGTTGGCAGGTAAACATTACACAGCCAAGCAGATCCTAATGTGAGCCAGTGTGACAGTGCATGAAAGACCACATTTGTTCCCACTGTCGCTGTCACCAGGCCACGACCAGACTTCTTCTACCGCTGTTTCCCAGATGGTCAGATGAACCTGGAGCTGCACTGCAGTGGAGACCCAGATGTTGTCATGGAGGGCAGGAAGAGCTTTCCCAGCGGACACTCTTCCTGTAAGAGGCTCTTATATTTGCGTCTTTAGAGTAGGGGGATTTTCATTAGCAGGCAACAAGGAAAGGAATCACATGTAAGAAGTGAGGTAGGAATGCACATGATTCATCTTAAAAAAGATCTAAGTGTAGGCTGGCTAGTAGTGGAGGCCTTTATTTTATTGTATGAGCAAGAGAACATCTCACATTACTTGCATTAAAAAAGAATTTCTTATGTCCAGTGTCTGCCCTTCTCTTTTTGTCTTTTTTTTTTTGTTTGTTTCTGCATAAAACTTCTTTTCTGTTCCCAGTTGCCTTTGCAGGTTTGGGTTTCACTGCCCTGTACATTGCAGGAAAGCTGCGCTGCTTCAGCGCAGCAGGCCAAGGCAGAGCCTGGCGGCTGTGCGCCTTCCTTACTCCTTTGCTCATTGCAGCTATGATTGCTCTCTCCAGAACCTGCGACTACAAACACCACTGGCAAGGTCAGAGTCACCAAAAAGCCAAAGCATAAAGTAAAGAGTAAACATAATCATTTGCTTGACATTGGTGACCAATAGCTGACGCTGGTTTTGAGGGACACAGTGAATGAGGTTGTGTTAAAATTTCAATACGAGTAACATGCTAGCCTAGTCCGAAAATCAAGCTGAATTACCAGTTTTCCACTTCTCTGACCATCTGTTGTCTTTTCTCTCTTTCACGTAGATGTGTTAGTGGGTTCTCTGCTGGGTCTTACCTTCGCCTGGCTGTGTTACAGACAGCACTACCCCCCACTTCAGGACCCAGACTGCCACAGACCCCTGCGCCACAGAGAAACTGTTCCTGCTGCACAGGAATGGAAGCTGGCCAACTCCAGCTACATCTTACCCCTGTAGAATAGCTGTACCTGGGAAATACTCTCCACTGGTGTCATTTATACTGACTCTCATTCATTCTAATTCTGGTTTTCACACTTTTAAGGCTGGTCAGTATATTACTAGTTATCATTGTTACTGTATTGTGGGACTTTTCTGTTTATATGGTGATATATGATAAAACAGATTGTTTTCTAAACTGTAATGACAAACTAATCACTGAGTCAGATTTCTCCTGAATGGTTTCTAAAACACTTTTAAAAATCAGGGTTGAGGTTTAAGCGAAATGCTGGTATACAGTATTTTGATTTCTGAGCATGGATGTTCAGGAACAGTACAAGCTGAGGAGAGTCCAAACTCAAAGATTTGGTCAGTAATGAGTCAGATTCAGCAGCATCTTATGGTTATGGAGCTGGCATAACTGTCATCACGTGACCTAAATGTGAAGCACCAAGGAAGCAGACAACATCAGCTGTCTGTACTGTCTGTACGCACCAGACCAGCTGCAGCTTTGACTGGGAAGAGGTCAGATTTATTGACCGTGAATCAGTAGAGGAGAAATATTTTAGGAGGCCACTTCCATCTAATGCCAGAGACCTCTACAGTCAAGAGTTTTCTCTTGTGGTGACATGCACTGCAAGCTCAGTCTGATCTGTAGTTAACTCAAGAGCATCTCAGTGGTATTAATGAGGGAAGGCCACCACTGTGTCTACAAGGTCAGGGAGCGAACCAGTAACTGCCCAGTCACAAACCCCACCGCTCAAAGCTGTAGAGAACCACCCTCACCACCTGTTATCACATGACTGAGAGCTTACATTGATGTTCACATGATGACATGAGACAGTGAGATGCTGTTAAAATCTCCAGTAGAAATGGCACATTGAGCTTATTTAGTTTTTCAGAGGAAAACCGATGAAGTAAGAGGCGTTGTATTTATTTTTGAAAGGTGTGAGTGATAGAGAGAAAATCCTTTCACAGAATGTTTCCATTCACAAGTTTTTTTTCTTTGAAAAAAGGGTTCATGTGCCAGTATCAAATCCTGATGTAGCAGTTCCACTTAGCCCTTCTCACTGTTTTTTCAGTGGCTGCTTTATTTTTAGTTCTTTGTGACAAACAAATGATCGCATCTCTGCTCTAACTGGACAGCACATCTGCTAATATCACACATTCTTATTAGTGTAAAAGAACTATGCCATACAAGCTTTCACACATCAGTGGTCTCAGGCTTGTTGCAGGTCTAACTTTTGCTACTGCACATTCTCGTGGCTCCTCTGTAACCTCGTCTAAGGTTAAATGGAGAGATGTGGTGTACAGGGGTTGGTTTTTGGAGTAGGAGTGGAACCAGATCTTTCTGATGAACCTGAATGGTGTATGAAAGTAACGTCTCCAGCTGATGGTGCTAGCCTCCCAGCGCTCCTGCTGGTCAGGGTTTTTATTGGCATGTGATGTTTGGCAGTTTATTTTTCCCAGTAGTTATCATCAGCTTTCATTTAAGAGTGTGAAAGGTACAGTCTGTGGATCAGTTATCTTTTGAGTTTTACTTATTTATGAGGTTTTTGTCATTTAATTTTGTTTGCAAGGTTGGTTTTACATAGCGCAGAATGTAAAATTTTACTTTGATATGACTGTTTTTTGCTGGTTGTAACATAAAAAACAACCAAGCCACCTCATGTTTTTGTTCGCATGTGAAACCAGCCAAAGTGTTGCAGGGTCAAAGCACTTTTTGCTTGTTGCTGTGAATCAAGCATAAAGTAGCTGAATCACAGTGGTTTCAGACCAAACTTGGCAGAAAAGCAGATGAATGTGTGCCTTTGTTTAATACATCACTCTCAGTTAATGAATTAAGTACTTTATCATGTATCAGTGTATGCTCTCCTGTCATGTAACTTTGTTCTGGGTCTTTAGTTTTTGCTGTTTTACAGTGTATAGGATTCATTTGTGAAGATAGATGTGGCATGCCACCATTCCTTACCTCAGAAAACACATATTTTACATAATTTTAATTGTTGGTGGTGTCAAATGTGAAGATTTCTGTGTAGAAGGTGTAAAATTTACAACTGATAGACTAGACAACAGAAGGAAATTACATCTTAATTTGCCAATTTTGCAGATATTTATGAGATGACATACAAGTTTACTCATTTCATTTCAAGGCATGTAGAGGTTTGCTTACATTTTGAATATTTGTTAATCTTGTAATGTTATTTCATGAAAATAAGAATCATACTGGTGTACATACTATTCTGAGGAGTCTTTCAGACAAAAAAATCTCATTACACTGCTGCATTTTGATAAAATTCTGCATGTTTCGCAGCTCATTACTTCCTTTCATATCCTTACATTTCTATCTATTTCTGGCAGTTTGTGAATTTCACTACTGTGTTAGGTTGTTGATCATGCCTGGTCTTCTTCTGAACTACTGATCATGCTCATGCTCATCATGCTGACTCAGCATCCACACAATTAACATAGGCTGATTTTATTTAGAATAAACCTACAACGTTGCCCCCAAAATCTATTTTCATAATGTGTTGAAGCCTCTACACACCAATAGTCCCACTGCTGAGATCTTCCCGGGACTGTTTTATCCAACCAAAGAGGCCTATTCAGTTTTATTATCATGACAAAAACCATCACGGCAAACACCACTGGCCAGGATGGAAGCAGCTAATGTTGCAACTGCAAATCCATTTTTAATGAAAAAGAATGACTGAAACAAACTGACCAGAGTTTGACAGAGCAGTGAACAGCAGCCTGTTTGTGGTCAGACAATGTAGACACCGTCTCCTCCCTGCAGCCCACAGCGTTTGATTGTGAACCAGAAACTCAGTAGAGAGGACATCTGAATCATGCTGAGCTTGAAAATTTGTTCCTTTATCTATACTGTGTAAAATCATGACTGGATTAAATAAAACCCATAAAATCACACTTGGTATTAAGGTTGTGTCCCGGTGTCTGGGCTCTTTGGGGCAGTATTCACTCAGCGGTACAGGCTGTTAATTTTGTGTTTGAAAACACAGACTGGTCGCCAACATGGATGCCATGGCAACTTACAGTATATCTGTCTTTGCTTCTCATATCCAAGTGGAGGAGTTTCAGTCACTAACCATCTGATGACCTACATGATTGGGACCAGTTTGCTGCTGTAGCACCTCAGATACTCACAAAGGAACTACTGAAGGGACTTCTCTCTCACTGCCTTTCTGTCCAACATGACCATCTATTCTGGGTTAGTCTGGTGTCCTACAGGGGGCAGAGTTTAGTCGGTAACCATCTGACTTCTTCATGCTCCTCACCTGTTTACCAGGGTCACATACAGTCAGTGTATCAGTCAGGCATTTTAATAGTCCTGCACTGCTTTGGTTACTGGGGTAAACTCTGCCTGAGATCGGCCTGAGGCTGCCTGTTACTCTGTGCTCACTTATGCTCTGACACATTAGGTTAATTGTACCACTGTTTGGGACACTGGCTTTCTCTAGTGCTAATTCAGTTTATAGGTAATCTGTTAGAATACATTTAAAATCTTTTGTTTGTAGTATATTTAAGTTCTGTTATAGAGATTATCACCACCCAGATTTTTAAAATCAATTAAAAATAGTTTATTGTAGCGTTAGTCCTCTGGGTCATCATGCTCTGCCAAGTTTCAAGAGGGAGTCTTACGCTTCAAGTAGGTCCGGTGAGGTTAGAGTTTAGCTTTTCGTATTAGATTTTCCAGATGTTGGGAGGCCTCCCAGCAGGGGAATTTATCCCACTCCTGCAAAGCGTCATGCCATTGATGTAGGGATACTTTAGACAGTTTCATATTGTTGTCGTACCTGGTTTATGCAGTACCAACATTTGCGTTTTTGGGAGGGAGGCTGGCAGAGACAGATGACTTAGATAACTCTAAAAAAAAAAAAAAAAAAAAAAAAAAAAAAGAACAGGGGGGATTAACAAACAACCCCACTTCATTCAAAAACCATTTATCCTGTCACAATAACAAGGGCATTTTCTGATTTCTCACATTTTTTGCTACCGTTTTCATGTATAATTTGTGTGTGGAAGCTTAAGGTTGGCAGAATAAGAGCAGAAAACAAGCTGAAAATGTGTAAAAAGGCTGTAGGACAGAGCTAGAGTGTGAGTGATGTCACCCACTCTAGCTCTCCCCATTCACATGAATGGAGTGGCTGAGAAATGCCCATCACCATAAAATGTAAACTGTGATAATTCAAAAACCGTTAAAGATATAAAGCTGAATATAAGATGAATAGCTGAAGATTTGCTGAACTGTTTAAAGGCTGAGTGGATTTTCTGGCTGAAAGTATGCCTGAAGCTATAATGGCTGAAAGGAGAGGAAGAAATCAGAATAATAAAGAGTTGGAGAACAATAGTGTTGATGCTGACTCAGCATCCACACAATTAACATGACATAGCAACAAAAATTGTTTAATACAGATGTGTCAGTCAAATAATGAAGTGGCTTGGACTGCAGAAATAAAAGTGTGCAGGATAGCAGCATTTTCAAATGTGTTTTCTGTTTTCAAGTTATAAATTGCTCATTTTCATATTTCTAGATGATGTGCTTCTTTTACCTCCTTTCTTGGGTTACATTTAAACAGGAGGGGGTGTCAAACCTAAGATCAAAATAATCATTCTAACTGACCAATATTGAAGAACCTGATCCTGATTTAACTGAAATAGTTGAAAGGTAGGACACAGTCAGGGTTGTACCAAAAAATGAATTTTCTAATGCAACCCCATAAGACGTTTGTGAATTAAGCCACCAATATGTGTCTAAAAATTTTCTGATTTTTATTTTTAATTAACATATAGCTGTACATCACCATGGATCCAGTTCACTTGGAGAAATACTAAATCCTTGTAATTTAACAATGTATGATTTTTAATTATTATTCTTTTAATTTTAAATTGTTTTACCTAGAGTTATTGAGTCTATGCTGCATCTTTTTAATCAAAATAATTTTACACCTTTACAAACTTTTGTGTGGTCTGTATTTTGGCAGGTTTCTCTTCTGGATCTTTTTTAGCAGAGCGTTTTGGTTTGTAGCAGCCGGTAGTATGTTTGGGTTTTCAACGTGATGACGTAGCCTCGAACGTATGACGTACGTTAATTTACTTCGTAGTGATTGGTTGGATGTGACCTGTCGATTTGGCGGCATATTTCCAAGAAAGAACACAGTACTGCTGTGTTCTGCTCCTGATAGCGACCTGGAATAATTGTTGTTCATGCCACTTTAGGGATATTTTACCGAGCTTGTCTCATTTTAAACGCTTTTAAGGATAGTTTTGAAGATGTTCATCACGGACATAAGAAAGGAATTTTATGAAGTTGTTGTCAACCAGGCAAGTAGTTTGAGCTAAATGTAATATTGTGTTAGTTATCTAGAGCTATATGGCTGTTTACTAAAGTTAAGACCAATTAACGCAAAGTATTTTAGATTGTGTAACGTTACCTAGCTAAATACGATCTGTCTGTCGTTCGTTTGTTTGCTTTCAGAGAGTCGCACTCCTGGTGGCACCAGACATCGACGCTATTTGTGCCTGTAAGATAATACAGGTAAGCTACTCGGCTAACTGATGGCATTGATTAGCTCCTGTTACCTAGTCTAGAGCTGCAACTGTTTGACTATTAATGAATTAGTCCATCAACAGAGAATTAATCAGCAATTATTTTGATAGTCAAATGATTGTTTAGTAATTTCCAGTCATGTTTAAGAAATGAGTTGCTGTTTCAGTTCTTAAATATGGAGTTGTTTTTTTTTTTTTGTCATGCATGCTCGTAAACAACATCCTAGGTTTTGGAATCAAAGTAATCGTTAGTTGCATTGCAGATTAGTTACTCGACAGTAAAATAATTTGCAACTTTGGATAACTGGTTTGTGTAATTTATATACATGCACATACTTGCTAGTTCCTTGTTTTCCGTGACAGTTACACTTTGTTTCGCCTTTGGTCTGTCAACCAAGCTTCAGGGACTAAAGCTCGACCTTTTCACTATTTTCTGGTATTTTATATACTATACAATCAATTGAAATAAACAGTTCAGTGATGGAATAATATGACCACGCTTAAGGTTTTATGTTAATTATATGATACAGAAAACAATGAAGCATTTTGCTAAAACAACTTCACAATGAATGAGCTAAATAGAAAAAAAAAACAATTTAGGTCTTTAGTAGATTTTGAGACATAGTTCCTCTACAAAAGAGGGGTCATGAGATGAAAGACTAATTTCTGGTACTGTATTTAATTATATATTAGAATTTATGTCAAATTCTGTAGACCTAAATGATATGGAGAAAAACCTCATATACTGCTGTATTGGTAACCATCAGCTAAGTATTTTGACTCAATAAGTAGTTTAATTGTGACTATTGAACAATAAGAGCATGTGTTAAATGTCAGCTGCACATTTCTGAGATCATATTAATGGCCTCATCCATGAAATGCTGATTAAAAGTGTTTATTCCCTCAAATCTGCCTATAAAGTTTCATTGAGGCTTCTTTTTCAGTGACACTGGCTTCAGAGTCATTGTTCTTGTGTCCTTGCTCATGATGAATCGGTCAGTTAAACAATAATTGCTTAATCATTGTCTCTTTACCAGGCTCTATTCCACTGTGACCAGGTCCAATATACACTTGTGCCAGTTTCAGGCTGGCAGGATCTTGGTACTGCCTTTCTTGAACACAAAGAACAGGTATGATCAAATCAGACCTGAGCTCACACAAAATTAAATGGCAGAAGCAGAATTAAAGAAGACATGTTGAGGTTTGTCATGCTGAACTAAGTGTATTATTTTTATGTTGTGTTGTAGTACCGATACTTTGTTCTTATCAACTGTGGGGCAAATGTTGACCTCCTTGAGATGCTGCAGCCAGATGATGACTCCATCTTCTTCATCTGTGACACTCACAGGCCTGTAGATGTGGTTAATGTCTACAATGACACCCAGGTGATGCATAATGATTGGTTCGGCTCCACTGATAAATAATGAAGAAAAAAAAACTTAAACTTAACTTTAACATAAATTCTAAAAGCACAATAAATTGCTACTTCTAAAAGTGCTGCATCCCTCTATGGCTAAGAACTCTCTCTTGTTTAGCTCTTGAATTTTCTGAGCAATAATAAAATGTATTTAACCTCATCTCAGTGGAAACGGTGTTGCCATGCTTATACTTCTGGAATTTAATATTGTATAAACTCCTTTCATCTTGTCCACAGATAAAACTGATAATCAAGCAGGATGATGACCTGGGTGTGCCATCATATGATGATATTTTCCGAGATGAAGATGACGACAACGAAGAAGGAAGCGACTCTGGAAATGAGAGTGAAGGCTCAGAGCCTTCTGGCAAACGGAGGAGATTTGATGAAGTGCATGTTGAACAGAATTAGTAAACACCACAAAAATAAACTGTGTGGGCATGACTGGAATGGTTGTGTCATCATTGTTTGTGGTCATGTTGCAGGGGGCAGTTGAGAGGAGAATTGAGAGACAGCGAGCGAGGAGGGAGTGGGAGGCACGAAGGTGAGGTGGTTTTACGAAGGTGTTTGTGATAAAGCCATTTCTAAATTGGCGCTAATGTTTCACTCATTTCTCAGGAGGGAAATCTTGTTTGACTATGAGCAGTATGAATATCATGGGACTTCTGTGAGTACGCCGTTTTAAAGTGTTTTCCCATTGCAAATGTGCTTTGCATGTATGTTGACTTGTCACATATTCTGTTATAATTTCTGAATACATATATTCTTGTGTGTTTTTTTTTCTTTCTTTCTTTCTTTTTGTCAGGCTGCAATGATGTTTTTTGAGCTTGCATGGGTGTTGACTAAAGATACCAAGGACATGCTCTGGTAAGTTATCTGATAAAATGTTCTTTCTTAATGACATAAATACTGAGTAAATGTACCACTGTACTGTACAGACCTTTAGAAGTAGTTTCTTCCTTTTGCAGGTGGGCCATCATTGGGCTGACAGACCAGCAGGTTCATGATAAAATCACACAGTAAGAGTGTTTTCAGTCAAAACAGTTCTCAAAAGCATTCCCTTAGAATTAAACAAGTGAACTCACTGCTGAAGTCATTATTTGGTTTTTGGAGAATTAGTAGGTACACAATGTATTTACTAGGTCATTGCATCATTGTTTACTCACACTGAATTGATCTTTTCTGCCTTGTTCCTTTTTTAGTATTAAGTATGTAACAGACATTGCCACAATGCAGCGTCACGTCTCTCGACATAGCCACCGAAATGAGGATGAGGAGAACTCTCTCTCCATTGACTGTATGAGGATCTCCTTTGAATACGAGTATCCTCAACTCATCTGACATCTTGTAATTTTGGAGCCTTTTAACATGTGTTTTCAGATGTCGTAGTTGCAAAGGTCACTCATACAAACCTTTTGTAGGAACGCCTCTTTTTTTCCTCTCTTTATGTTTTACTTAACCTCCTGCTTCAGCCTGCGTTTAACCCTCTACCAGCACTGGTCTCTGTATGAAAGCATCTGTAATTCATCTTACACGTCATGCCACTTCAAGCTTTGGACGTTAAATGGACAAAAGAAACTCCAGGAGTTTTTAGCTGACATGGGGTACGTGCCTAGGTTTGTGTATTAACAGTGAAACCTCCTGTCAACAGACCTGATCTTTTTATTGAGTGGAATTTGAGGTCAACCTATGATGTGAAATCATTTCCTTGTTTTACTAGCTAATATTGTTTTGATATTGCTCGTAACAGGCTACCTCTGAAGCAAGTGCGGCAGAAATTCAACTCCATGGACATGTCAATCAAAGAGAACCTAAGGGATGTCATTGAAGAGTCTGCTAATAAATATGGGTAAGAGACGCTTGATGTGATGAGTTTGTTTTAGGTAACACAAAACCCATTGTTTGACAGAAAACCTGAAATGATTTGTCTTGGTTTTCCCCTCTTTATCAGTATGAAGGACATCCGTATCCAGACATTTGGTGTTCATTTTGGCTTTAAGAACCGTTTCCTGGCAAGCGACATGGTGCATGCTATTGCTGCCTTGCTGGAAAGCACTGAGAAAGAGGAAAGTGACAGCGACAACTTCATCAAGGCTCTCGACTCCCTTTCCAGGTGTGTAGCAGAAACTAAAAAGTCCCTTTAAGCTTGATTATAGTTCTGCATTGAATCTATGGCGTAAGGATGACGTAGGTAGTGTACGCCCTCGTACCCTACGCCATTGCCTGATGTTCACCACTCCAGAAATGTAGCCACACGTTGTGGTGTCTCAGACAGCAAAACTGTAATTGGTTGCATCACATTTTCTCGTTCATCTCATTCATTCAGTGGCCAGACAAGCACAGAAAATTCCCCTCCTTCTGCTGCAGTAGGTTTAATGGTCATACAGACCATCTCCTCTGGTGTCTTTTCTCTGGTCTGTGTTGCAGTAATTTCAGTAAAGTAACTACTGCTCAACATCTGTTAGTTTTGACTCCAACATGACCCACTCAGTCTGTCACCATTGTTTGTAAGCAGCAAAGAAACGCAACACAGCAGCATAGAAACGCCGCCACAACTAGTGTTTTTTGCAGAGTGACGCAGACACTCGAGCGTACAAGTATAAACGCTCATAGCTACATAGGCTCAATGTATATTCAAAGCAGACCCATAAATCAAGCTTTACACTGTGAAGTTTGGACTCTCTGAGATATGAACTGACAGTGGTGAGAGAAACATGGTCAAACCAGGGCTCGCCACTACAAAGTGGTGGTTGCTGATCGCACTGTGAGACAGCTGATGGTTCTTTAGCAGAATAAGAAAACTGTACAGAGTGACAGAGATGGATGACTCTGTTTATATACTTTTGTTTTTTTGTTTATGTAACGGTGCTATGACTCATCAATCATCACACAATCTCCCGTCCTATGCCTCAAACTACTACTGTGCAGTTCGACACAGATTGTGGTTCAGATTTTATGAGGCTCTTTATGTTGCAGTGTGACATGCAGTAAACTTTCACAGCTGTTCTCATTTTAGTTAGTTCACTGCCTAAAATCTTAATGGTCACACTTTTCTTAAAACTGTCAATGACCAGGATTGATTTAGTACTACATTCGGGCATCGACTTGGCTAAGAAGAAGCTGATTGCTGTTCAGCAGACCATTGCCAGCTGCATCTGTACCAACCTCATCTTGTCGCAGGGACCCTTCCTCTACTGCTACCTCATGGAGGTACAAGTGTCTGTTTGACTGGCATGCATCTGTCTGTGTACTCCTGGTGTATCCTGCTGAGATCCTGCTTTTGCATTTGTAGGGAACTCCTGACGTGAGGCTCTTTTCTAAGCCTATGGCCTTGACTCTGCTCTGCAAATACCTCCTTAAGGCTTTTGTCCATTCGGTGAGTGTCTAAATGCTGTGTACATTGATTCAGAATGTGAAGGACTTAGACTGGTTACTGGTGTCTTGGTTGTTTAGACTAGGAATAAACGCTGCAGGCTGCTTCCCCTAATCATGGCTGCTCCCAAGGATGTGGAAAAGGGAACTGTCATTGTTGTGGGAATCCCCCCAGAGTCTGAGACATCTGACAAAAAGAAGTAAGATCAGTTTGTTTAGTAGCATGTAGCAACAAAAGGATAAGCTGAGTGGTATGATGACACAGCTTTCAGTGCAGTACATGATAAAAGAAGCTCATTCAACCAATAGTTTGTTTACAATCGGACTGCAGAAACACATTTGTGCTACATAGTTAAACGAGTTAAATGCCATCTCTGATATAGTCTTTTTTTTTTTTGTTTGTTTGTTTGTTTTGCTGTTGCATTCGTACTATTTAGAACACTTTCTTCCCGTTTTTTTGGTCAAAAAGAGTTTAGGTTCAGAATCGGTTTTACTCCAAGTCCTGTTGGAAAACATTAAAATAACTTTTCATCATTAGTAACTTGTCCTTTTGTTTGTTCTCTAAAAGTTTCTTTGGTCGAGCGTTTGAGAAGGCTGCCGAGAGCACCAGCTCCCGAACTCTTCATGACCACTTTGACACTTCAAGTGAGTGACACCATCATTTGCTAGTGTAGAGTGCATGGCGTCTAATAGAGTATCTGCAGGTCTTGAAATGTTTTAAAGCAATAAAGTCTGGCTTTAGAAAGAATTGATGTCTTAAATTTAATTTACAAATGTCCGTTTGTTTTGGTATCTGATCGCAGGCTGTCCAGAGACCTACTGTATCTGTAAACTATAAATGGGATTGTTGTGACACTGGATTGTGCTGCAGGAGGCTCAATATTTCTTTATTTATTTAGTGCAGTTTCAATGTTAGACCTGTAACAAACACAGTCACTTCTGCTAGCTATATTTTAGGCTTCAATTAAGTTATTTTTATTATCAATCGTTTTAGCTATAGAATGTCAATCTCCGCTGTAATTTTTTACAGTCCAAGTTGTCTTCAAATGTTTTGTTTTGTCTCAGCAAAAGTATAGAGCTCTATAATATTCAGTTTATAACAAGGACAAGCATCAAATCTTCAGAAGCAGAGACCAGCAAATGTTTTTTTATTTTTTTACTAGAACAATGACAAAAACCAAGTATTACAATTAAAGTGTTAGAACTTCGTTACACTTTATTTGTTTGCCACTTACCTTTGTCCAGGTCAATTTAGGTGACCTGGACAAAGGTAAGTGGCTGGGAAGAGGAGACAAACGTGTGACATCCCTGCAAATAAAATGTATGTGAAATTATAAATGTGTGCTGAAAGCTTGTAAATTAGATTTGAATACTGCAGAAACCCTGGTCTAAGTCATTACCATTTGTTTTGCAGAGATGCCCGTCTCTTCTTTAGACACTAGGTGGCAGTCTTGTATTTGTGTGAAGCAGTGACTGAGCGCATGAAATGAACAAGACATGTGCATTTCAGCATATGCTTCATGTGTAGAATAAGGTTTGAGCATTTCCATCCAGAGTCCTATCTCAGACATTTATTCCAAGCTGTGTGTTCTGTGAAAAAGAAATGAAATATTTTGACTATTTCTTTTTCACAGAAAATCTCACAGTTAACAATACACTTAAATGTGCCAAAGAGTGAAAACATGTTGTTAGGTGATGCATGTGTTCACATTTTCTTAATGCACTTCATTCTTACTTGTGAATTTTTTTTTTCCCCTGTGCAGTAATTGAACTGAAGACTGAGGACAGAAGCAAGTTTCTGGATGCACTCGTCACTCTCCTGTCATAAGAACATTCAGCACTGAAGGGAATATGAATGTGAGTTTAGACAATCTTAAACAGCACGAGTGCTGCTGCTGTTCACATCTTTGTTTGATATGACTTGTACGGTGTCATCTGTACAAGAACTTGATCCACGTTTTTGTTTTTAAAGGTTTAAATTGGTTTTGTGTGTATGTTGTCTTCCTGTACATGTGTGGAGGTTTTAGTTTCTGCTTTTAAATTCTTGTTTGTGTGTGTGAGCATCATGCATTATATTTTAAACATGTTTAATAAATTATAGAAAATGTTTTGATTGCTCAAATTTATAGTTATTCTTTCTGGGCATGTTTCAGTTGTGAGACTTCTTGTACTTCACTGTACTTGTGTCGTTGATGAGAAAATGAGAAATTTTCACAGGAAACACCTGTAATGCTTTAGTTTAGTAGGACAATGTGTCCCATCCAGTTAAAAGACTGACGGGCTGTTTCCAAATACTGCATAACCAGTTTTCTTAGCTTTGGATTAAAAAAAAAAGTCATAGGACTATGGATATAAGTGATGGAGACTAAACTGCTGAGGACATGAGTGAGTTTACATAGACTGAGTATACATAGGCATGTTTCATAACGGGTAAAATAAACTTTTCCGTAACTCCAGGCCCTTATCCAAGCATTAAAGTAACCCGTGTCTGACATATGGAGTTCTTTAGTGAGCACATTCCCTGTAGCCCATGTTGACAACTACCATTATTACTTGGATGTAGGGCAAAGGCTAGGAAGACCCACATTAAATCCAATTGTTAAAGGTAGTTGAAGCTGTCATAAAACAAAGATTGTTTCCTGTTGCCACTCTCAGCTGATGGAGGCAGAGAAAGTGATTCTGACTATTAGTCTTTTCATCTTGATCCGAGTCTTTGTTTTGCTGAGTCACAACTTGAGGTTCTGCAGAAAGTAAAACACCTCTTACTGTATTTGTGAGACTTATAGTAAGAGTACTGAGTTTTAATGAACTTCTCATCTCTTGAGCTCATCCTGTTCATGTGAGGCAAAGGTGAGGACTGGAACTTTGGCCCACATTGGAGAAGGTACGCTGGGCATCCTGGTGATGATTTGTTATCAGCCCCGCAGGTGGCTGGAAAGGAAATGCCTGCCCTGGTTTCTTTTGAGACCCTTGTCTCTCATGATCCTCAGAGTGGAGGGTGGTTACTTAGCAAAGTCTGGACTGAGTGGCAGCAATGGGATTAGAAACGTGCCATGCTCTGCATCGCCATGCTCTGCATCGCGCTGCAGCAGGGGATGTTAATGTCCATGTTATCAGCGAGGGTGTGTCTGTCATCACCGCCTAACTGTACATGTACAGGGGCAAGACATACTGTACATGGACATGTACAGTATGTCTTGCCCCCCCGGGTCAGCTATTTGAGAACAATTTACACTCATAATGGCATTGTTTAGATTCACAGCAGAGTGATGTTACCCAGGAGGAGGAGAAGAAGCAGAAATACACAAAGCTATGGTAGACAAACTTGTATCATTAACAGGACGAAGAGTGTGTTATAGACATAATTATCAGGAATCTTAAGTGAAAAAAGCTGAGGTTCAAAGTTCAAACAGCAGAAATCCCTCTCACAACAAGCTCCATTTAGTAGGAGCAGTGTACGCTCCTGAACACTTAAGCATGTTTAGGCCATAGCTAAACATTGTAATTGTAGCTAAACTGGCCACTGTGGTCACATATGGTTACATTACACACATTGGTATGATGTGTTTACTTCTTGTTTTACCTTTATGATTAAAAAAGAAAGGTGTGTTTTAACTCAATCTTTCATTTGTAAGAAGAGGTTTGTACAACTTCTTTCAGAAGCTGTATAGACTCACTGAAGTGCTCAGAAAAAATACCTGTATTTTCTTGACATCTGATCAAAAATACCGAATGCTGATGAAGGTCACGTGAGATGAAAGCTTGCAACCTTGACTAAATGGACCTGGCGGTGAGAGTGTTTTCTCACCTGTTGTTTCCAAGGTGAAGAATGAACTTTGAACCTCGTGTTTTGGTTAATTTTTCCTTGGTGTCTTGATATGTTTTTCAAGAAAGCAGGAACAAGGTTCCTCTCATTGATCATTGTCCGGGACAGACTCCAGCCTAAAGAACAGCTGTTATTTTCAGTCACCTGGTCAGTGAACAGCGGCCAGTCTGCCAGCGACAGATCCACCTGTTCATCCAATCAGTTCAGCCATCAATCACTTTGCTTTCCATCCCCCTTCTTGTACCTCTGGTGAAGTAGGGCCACTGCCTTTTCCACTGCTCTGCATCTGAGGAATGTTGCACATAACAGACCCAACACACACTGAGGGGAACATGCCCCCAAAGGCAGGATCCTACAGCTGATCTTTAGTACATAAAGGCCTCATGCTCAAACAGCCCTGTTCCAGTAACCACATAAAAATGTCCTATCTAGTTTTAATTTCCAGTAGATAAGGAAGAGCTATACTACTGTACCTTCATTTACAAATCAATTATCCATTAGAAAATATTGCCAGTTACATTTTGTATAGAATACAGCCTGATTGATGCTAGGTCTGTGTTGCAGTAATTTCAGTAAAGTAACTACTGCTCAACATCTGCAGCAGATAGTTGCAAATCTAATCACATATTGGCCAGTATTTTTTTTTTTTTTTTTTGTCACATGTATAACAAAGAAACGTGACAAAAAACTTCCTTACATTTGTTTAAGTTTAACCGATAGTCAGTACTGCGCATATGTTTTAGGTTCTAAATGTAAAGCAATAATGCCATGAATTAAAAAAACCTTCTGAGACAGTGGGTCCTAAAGATCAGGTAATAATATAGACCATACCTGAAGGTCATGTGAAATTGAGCTTTAGTGTGACATTTTCCCTAAAAACTGACTATCTAGTCTTATAAACCCGGAGTGATGTGCCTTGGATGAGCAGACATTTAAGGTGAACTATGTTGATGTGTAAATGTGTGTTCCACCATTTGTTTTTTTGAGCCATATCAGGCCTGCATCTTATGTTTGGGTTTCCAGCCTGAGAAATGCCTGGGAGGAAACCTGAAGGCTTAAACATGAGAGCCTCACCCTGCACAGTCTGGTAGGACGAGGGCATCTTTGCTTTCATCCTCTGTGGTGGGTGGCTCAGTCATGCAGGACACCTTTTAATGAACTGTCATGCACTACAACTTTCATTCTTGAAAATACACTACAGTCCAATGCACAGAGACAGAGAGAGAAAGGAGCTCAGGAAGAGAAAGTAAAAAATTCTTTTTTGTTTTAGAGGAGTCTTTTTCACATATCAAGTGCTAATTTGTTGCACCAGTGTTCTATATCAGTCCTGAAAATAACAAGCAGTTTTCCTACAAGATGCATTTAGTGTGGAAACAATCCACTTAGTGCTCCTCGGAATCCAGATCCTGTTTGTGTGTATGTTTTAGACGGAGTGATTGTTGACTCAGCCACTGATTGCTATAGGATTCTCAATGACCACTGGAGGCCAAAGCTAAAAGCAGCAGCACCTGTACATAAGTCCACTGTCTTGTTTGCAACCATGGAGCATAAATGCTGCTGCGGCTCTTGGTGTTAGAAGAGGAGAGGTTCTTTGTCTCAGCTGAACAGAGAGACTGACATCACAGCTATTTCACCGTCCATGCCAAATCAGAAATGTCTCCTGGTCCCACCGAGGCATTCCTCATACTGCTGGGGCTCCTGTTCGTCTCAGCAGCAGGCTGTCAGTCATCGCTTTGTCTGGTCAGACTTACCTACGTGTCTGTGTGGGTGCAAGTTAATACAGTAAATGTTTTAGTGTATGTGTCCAAGTATTTAAAATTGCCTGCTTATGATGATATATAGTATTGAATCATGATCTCACTCAGGCATGAAAGGAGTGGAGACTCCCTGTTTCAGCTTCCCCTTTCTCATATTATTGCGATGAACTTTTCCACTTACACTCTGTTTATCACAGTGCTAAGAAAACACTTCATCTGTTGCTCTGAAACTGTTACTGGTTTGTCTCAAATTATACAATACGGTGTAGTTTAGTAAAATTGTGTCATTTTGGAAAAGTGAGGTTGAATATTTGGCTGCACTTTTGTAAATACTGAGGTTATGTTGGATTGTGGGTAAGTTCACAACTGCATCTGGCTTCAGGGGGAGTCGTCAGTTGTTTCAGTAGTAGTGGCCCTTTGAAATCAATATTCCCCTTAACCCTTTACTCTTTATTTTACAGCCTTGAAGTAACGGTAAACCTGCAATACTTTTTTGTTTTGTTTTATCTTTCCAGAAAGAAGTGGTGAACCAGTGATATATCTTTTTTTTTTTTTTTTTTTTTTTTTTGTTTTGGTAAACTTTTTAGCAAAACTTTACAGACCCAGAAATTACAGAGCAATTAGAGGTGTTCCTAATATTCTGACCCTCTCACGTGTGTATCTGGGGAGGACAAAAAATATAGAGACGCCTCTAAAAATAATGTAGTCCAGTAGAACACCACCTTTAACTAAAAGGCTTATAATTGAATTTACACATTTATGTCAATTTTATTGTTGCATTGAATTGCATACAGTTGTACAGGTGTGCCCAGTCAAGTGGCCGGTGAGTGTATATACACACATTTCACACAGTTTATTTATATACAATGCAAAATGCTGAGACGAAACTATAACAGCACTGTGTGCATGTTTGATAATAATAATAATATTCCTTCGACATATTCCCTTTTATATTGTGGCACAAAGGAGAGGAGAGGGCTGGTTATTAGCTATTGTTTGGTGCTCAGAAGGTGGTGTACAGTGGGTTTTTAGAACCTAGCTGCCTTGTGTGGCTGAAAACAAACCTGTCAGAGTGCGTCAAAACAGTAAAGTTGTGGGCCAGACAGCTGAACAATGAGTTCACAATTCAGCTCCGAGTGGGGCCGCAGATCGATAATTCTCTGTTTATCACTACCAGGCACACTTCTCAGATTGTTAATAATGAGGTGTCAAACTGTGTAGTTATTCTCAGAAGTATGAGAATCTTCTCAAATGAAGAAATGTGTTCAGTCACCAGTATGGTACATTTACAGTACGTGGACTTTCTTGTAAGGGTTGAGTCAAGTTGAGCGTAACGATAAATGTGACAAATGTACAGAGCTATAAGTTCCCTGTATATGTGGGTGTGTATGTTTGTGGGAGTGCTTTAACCCAAACTCCATTTCTCCTGACACACACACACACACACACACACACCACCCTCCTCCTCCTCTCCCACACCCTCTGTGTTCCTTCCTGTTTCCTGCTCCGCTGTCCACTGAACAGGAAGCCTGGTCGTGCTACTGAGCTGCAAAAAAAAAAAAAACTTAAGTCACCAAGCTGTAAACTTTGTGAACATAAAGAGAAAAGAACATGGTGTGTGTGTGTGTGGGTGTTTTTTTCTGATCTCCATCTCTAACCACTTTAGCTCTCGTATTGTTTCCCAGACAAATGGCTCGTGGGGCCTTTAACTCTGTACACAAAGCACATTTGTCCTTCACATTTAACCACCTGCTGACTCTTGGCTTTGCTATCTCTGATTAAGCTCTGTCCAGCTGGGTTGTCTGTAGGCTGTGTGCACCTGCTGGATCTGATCTAAGTCTGAGTCAGTCAGTAACACTTTAATTAAATCTCCCTTGTTTTGTGACTCATTTTCAGTGGTGGAAAAAAAGTACATGAAATCAGCTCACAACCTGACTGAGGTCTGACATGACCTCATAGCCTTCTCCATCCTGAGAGACATCAGGTTTAGAGATCTAAATGCAGTGATGCAAAGTAACTAAGTACATTTACTCAAGTACTGAAGTACAATTTTGAGGTAACTGTACTATACTTTACTTGAGTATTTTCATTTTCTGCTACTTCATACTTTGACTATAATACATTTACAGGCAAATATGGTACTTTTTACTCCACTACTTTTATTTTATAACTTTAGTTACTTTTCAGAATGAGATTAATTAAAAAAAACACAGTATAATCATAAGACTTTATCAATCCCTGTTGGGTAATTCACAAGTTACCCAACAGTAATTCAAATGATAAGGAAGTTAACATGAGCTCCACCTTTACCAACTGAAATTTAAAATGTGGTGTCAGCAAAAACACCTTGGTAATAACAATCCATTAATATGATCTACAATAATGTGATGTGCCATTCTGCATTATGAGTACTTGTACTACTTTAAGTTGTGATGCTATTATTTTTGTACTTTGACTAATGTAACATTTTGAAGGTAGGACTTATACTTATAACTGAGTGTTTACTATGATATTGCTGCTTTTACCTACTGTAAGTAAACAATGTGTCTACTTCTTCCACCACTGTCTTAATAGTCCTCTGTGTCTTGTACTTGTATGTTTCTTTGAAACATTTTTGTCAGCAACTCATTTGTTTATCTTCACTTTTTACATGCCCTTATACCCAATTTGTCCCCTCTGTGCAACATTAATAGCAACACTTAACACTTGCTCTTAGAAGAAACACAATGAAATGTTTCTGCTGTCACAGCTCTTTTTGCAGTGACCATAACAAGCTTTGAATAAATCCCTTTAGATTGCAGTGAATATAGGCTGTGTGTGTGTGTGCGGGAATGTCTGTTGGCCAGGCCTTTTATTAGGCTCATCCATACCACCACATTATAGGCTCCTGTAGCCAGGCAACTACAGGTTCTAGCTGGTTACCATGGTGAATGCCCATTGAGTGACGTCGCTGGCCCTGTTTGTCTGTCTTCGTTGGAATGGGCCCCCACCCCAGCTCTTTCTACACTCACACACATACACTCACTTAACCCCTTGCTGACACACAGACACACCCTGTGCTTCATCACCCTCTGTGTGGTGGGTGACCAGAAGAGTGGAACTAACAATCCGACAAAAACATCTCACTGAGGCAGATCAGACTGGACCCTTCAGGGAGTGTCTTTGTGTAGAAGCACAAAATAGGAACGCCTGCTTTTAGCAACTGTACTGTAACAGCACAACAAAATCACATAGTATTCTTAGTTTGAGAACCAGTGGTGGAAAGTAACTAAGTACATTTACTGTACTCAGTATGAGTACTGTACTCAAGTATGAATTTGAGGCATTTGTACTTTACTCTAGTACTTCATACTTTGACTTCACTACATTTCAGAGGCAAATATTGTAACCTACTGTACTTTCTACTCCACTTCACGCATTTCATGACACCCAAGTTAATGTGTTCAAATTGTTTATTTTGTTGAACAAGTAGTCTAAAACCCAAAGATATTATTTTTGATATAAAACAAGACAATAAAAAAGTCAATGACCTGAGAATGTGGAACCAGTGAATTTTGAGCTTCATAACTGACAAGTATATGGACGAAATCAGCTGAGTCAACAGGTCCATCTCACGCACATGTGTTATGGCTTAAAGTTCTTGAAAATGATTATTGGGATTGTTTCTCAAACTAAATCATAATATCATTATAACCAACAAAGATTTGGCAACTATAGCCATATCTCAGATCACAATTAGAATTTTTATAACAATATTGTGTTCTACCTGCAGCTAATGGAGTAAAATGTAATTTAACAGCAGGTGCAGGGATGTTTGTTTTGGACGTGGAGAGTATTGTCTGCTCAGTCTTGTCCTACATTTTATTAGATCTCCTGTGGAGTGCACTGACCACACACTCTCGTGGCTGTATGCAGACCTTCGGCATGTTCATGTTTTCAGTTTTTAAGAAGCCATATGACCTGCTAAGATTCTTAAGCACAAGCAAAACAAGTACGGATAAGCTTTAGTAATCCAGCCTCAGTTTTAAACAGGAGGACTGTTACTCATGCTGAAATATCTTGTGTTATTGTTTTTCTATTGTCTCAATTTAAACAATCCTTTATCTTTGCACTACATACTGCATCAACTCCGGAGTACCAGTAAAGTGGTGGTGTCCTTGAAGTAGCTGTGGATAAACTGATTACTTCAAGGTGTTGGTGTGTATTTTTGGTCATGAGGTCTATCTATCTTAGCACCGTCCTAATGGAGAGAAATGAGTTTGTGACGACTAATGAATGGAGTGACGATTCCAGCAACTTCTCCGTAGCTGTAATTGAATGCCTTTCATTGACTGTGGATGAGGGGGGTTGGGGGTGGTCTAAAACGGGGTAGTGGATGGTGGTAGGTTGGAGGTGGGGGTTATGGAGTATTGTGAGTTGAAGAGCAGAGCCCCATTCTGGCTGAATAGGCATTGTCATCCGGATTTCTATGGCTAACCAAAATGCTTTCTCCCGCCGTGGGGGTTAATGGATTCGTGCTGGGAAAGACGTGCGTTACGCACAGCCAGAGGGCACTCCTGCCTCTGAAGGAATCACAACTCAGTTGTCAGTTTTGTTTAAGGACACACTTTAACTAAAGATTTCAGACAATATACTGAGTTTAATTTTAATAAAGGTAAGCAATATTGCATTTACATATACACGAATAATGAATCTTTACATTAAACGTCAACAAACCAACAGAAAACAGTTTTACAGTTTGTTCCTAAAACTTTTGAAAAGAAGACTTCATGCAGTGACAGAGATGCAAAAAAAAACAACTTTGCAGGTGCTCAGTGCAGCAGAAAAACGAACTGTGACATTTCATCTTGTTACCTGTGGATCCCAGGCTCTCCGGAATCTACAGGTCCAGAAGTTGACTGCAAAGTGTAGGCCATCAACAAAAAAACATCCTGTCCGATATTTTTAGGACTTTGCCATGCATGCACTTTTCATCTTCTGGCTTTATGCTATTGGACATTGTAAGAGTCCTCAACATGTTCTCTAAAGGACATTGATGTTTCAATGTGTGGGAGTGCGGTCTTTCTCAGTTACTGTACATGTTTGTGCTGACAATGCACATCAAGGAAAAAGACCAGCGTATATATTCGATGGAGTTCCGAGAAGAAAAAACTTTGTAGTTACAATAGTAAACAATTCAAAATACTAGTAATTTCGAAGACTTACAAAAACAGGTACCTAAGAAAGATGCTCCTTTTTATTGTGAGCTACCTCTTGTGGCTGACAGTCATGTTCTAATCTTCTGTAGATACAAAAAGGATTTATGGACTTTGTTGTCCGAGCATGTTGAGGGGCCAGTGTAAAAACAGCAGAGGTGCTTCCGCTGATTTCCAAAGTTCAGATTTCTAAAAAACAAACAAACAAAACAAAACACAAAACAACACAAAAAAACAAACAAAAACCATCAGGTGCAAATAATGTCCGTCAAAAACAGTTTTTCAAAAATTGCAGGTCACTTTTACGCAGCGCCTGCTACGCGCCACATAACTACACATAATTCCTCTTATCATAATCCCCGTTCTGCGTGGCTCTCTTGGTCGGTGCGTATTGTACCGAGTATCCCGTGTTCCCGCTGGAGGGACAGGAGCAGCACAGCAGCGCTCCTCCGATCAGAAGCAACGCTGTGGCTGCCCAGCCGATATAGAGCGCAGCCCCGATCTCCCTCTTCTGGGATGGAGGCACCTGCGGGTTGTAAAAGTCCGATATGATGTTGTGGGCCATCCAGCAGAGTGGCACCAACACAATCAGGCCACTGATGATGAACATGACCCCGCCGGCATTCACTACCCGGGCTTTGATCTGCTCAGTGCGGATGCAGTTGGTGCACTGCGCCCCAGCGATCACAACCATGAGCCCCAGTACGCCCACCACAGAGGAGATGATGGTGAGCGCTCTAGCAGCTTGCAGGTCGTGGCTGAGGGCAAGGACGGAGTCATGTACCTTGCACTGCATCTGACCCGTGCTCTGCACTACGCACGACATCCACAAGCCATCCCAGATCGTCTGAGCCACCACGATGTTGGCTTCAATGAAAGCCGTCACCTTCCACATCGGTAGTCCGCATGCAACCATCACCAGGAGGGAGCCTATTAGGCACAGCGACAGTCCCATGATCTCTAGTCCGGCCGACACCATTTTCGTTCTTTACGTCCACTCAAGTCTGTCTGAACCTTTTCTGCTCTTGAAAACAAGATGGATTTCTGCTCTTCTTTACTTCTTCGATCTCACCTCGAGGCACAGGAGTGTCAGTAGTTAGGTTCGCATCACTCACCACACTTACTGGGAGATGTTAGAGACAGTAGCTCTGAGTCCTTTGTTAGCGAGGGGATGTGAAAACAACTGGAATCACAGTGGCATGTATCACGAATATCTGCGGAGTGGGGGTGTGCGGACTCGAGGAGAAACTTTCCTCCAATCATGTGTGGCTGCATCCTCAAGGGACCAATGAAAACGCAGGGAAGTTGTGGGACTGAATAGCGGTCCAGGGCACATTGTGCGTTTGAACTGTTATTTACAATGAATACCGGGAGAGGGGGTGCATGCCCAACGGGGCAGGGTTGTTATAAGCTATCGACCAGCTGAAATGCAGTGGTTTGGTGAGTCAGGGATATTGTTATCGAATTTCCAGACGTGGAGGCTAATGACACGTGTCTGTGGTTACATATGGCCATTCCACACATTTCACATTGTGGCAGTGTGAGATTTTTAATTGTCTTAAAATGCCAGAAAAGGCTAAATAATAATGAAATATCATAGTCATGTAAAATGAAGTAAAAACTGATGCAACAAGCAGAGTTAAGCACACAACACTTCCCTTGATTGGAATGATTTATTAACACATTAATCAAGGGCACAGAAATTTGTGCCCTTGACTGCCTATTTAATTATTTCAAACTTAAGAAATCATAGCAATGTCTTTCTGATTATTGATGATTTATTTATTATTTTATGTCATTCTACCATGTTCTTGTTGGGGTTTTTTGGGGTCTCACAAACAAAATTTCATTTTTGATTTAAATTTCACATAAGTATCAGTCAATTCATTCTTACTTGAATTGATTTTAAACTTTTTCTTTCCTATTGGTTAGATAGGATGCAGTTGTTGTTTTTTTTGTTCTTTTGTACTACTGTATATAGGACTGTAGCTACTTTTCTATAATTAACTAGTTTGCTGGCAGGATGCAGTTGTTTTTTTTTTTTTGTTCTTTTGTACTATTGTATATAGGACTGTAGCTACTTTTCTATAATGAACTAGTTTGCTGGCCATTGTTATTATTAATTTAATTAGTTTATTGTTTGTTTAAAAAACAAAAAATAAATATAAAGTTTCACATTTGAGAAGCTATAACAATGAAATGTTTAATATTTTACATGAAAAATGATTCAGACTTGTTTCACCTGTAGCCTACTTGTTTACGTAGGCCACTCACTGTTGGGTAGTTTATTAATAACAAAATATTATGTTTTATAAGCCCTTCGCGTGTTTAGTAGGGTATACAAGAGGTAAAATAACTAAATGTTTGATAAGACTACATGTAAGTAGCCTATAAAGGTGCATGAAAGGGAACTACTCAAGTGGCCTACAACTCTCTCAAATGTGTGGTACGTTAGTAAATGCAGCAAACATTTTCCTCGAAGTTATAAAAGTCGGCGGCCAGAGAAGAACCATCACAGAAACTGACATACTCGCGTAGCCATGTTGGATCTGCCAACAACGTCCTCTTATGGTTCCACCTCCCTGACCATTGAGCCGTAATGACGTCAGTGGCGCAGGGCGAAAGCCGTTCCTAAAGAGAAGATTCAGGGACAGGGCGGATTCACGGAACGGTTTCCGGGTTTCCTTCCTGGGCTGGGATATCGGCGAGAGGAAAAGAGCTCCCGTTGAATAACAATATATAACTGTTACTGACAGGTAAGACGCTGCTTGGTGATTTGTTGCGATTCATGTTATTACAAACTATTAATATGTATCCGAGCAGAGGAAAGAAGACACAGCGGAGAGTCAACTGAAGCCGAGCTGGCAACATGACACCAGCCGCGGTAACAACTGTTGCATGCTAAAGTTTGACATGTAACGTTAAAAAAGTTTAAGCGCTGTATTCCACGCGAATGTGATTGATTGAACACATTTTTAAAAGAGGAAATAAGTCTTCGATATTTAACTAAGTTGTTTACGGAGTATAATAATGTCATTGTCCCAGCTGATGTTTGGTCAGTTCACACGGTGTCTTGTCAGACTGGGTGTGGTGAACATCCAGTAGAGACACGGAGGCCGTCACACACGTTTCACACTCCCCTCGGACAGTGGCTGAAGCATAATCTATTTTCTGCTTATTTATTTGACACAACTGTCCAAGTTAACATTTCCCCCTCTTCAGGTTTTCAAAACAATAACCCAACACCCTTTTTTTTTACAGCACAGTTCTTTTGAAGTCAGTTCATGGTTGATAACTGCAAGGGAAACTGTTTACACTTAAGTGGGCCTGTATTATTTGTAAATCAGAACCATCTGCAACAGATGTGCCATTCACATTCCTAAACTCTGAAGTTGCTTTCTAACATCTGATTAATATTTGACCTTTGATTGTAAAGCATATTTGTACAAAAATTTCCTATCTAGACAACTCTACAATAACAGTGGGAAACAATAACATTCTCATTATGTATTTGTCTAGGATGTGGCCGAGAGCCAGTGTTGAAGAATTATCATCCATCTTCTCTTGTTTTTGGCTTAGTAAAAGCATTGCATATTTCACTTCCTCTCTTGCTGAGTGGTGAACGCAATGGCCACCATGGCGCAATGTGTAAGCTGTAATCTTAGGCTGGCATCTGTTTTACTTCAGAAACAATTCAGCTTTTTACCCTTATGGACAGATCAGTTTGATATGAGAAAGACATCTTTTAGTGCTGAAAGACATCCCAGGCCTCTGATTCAAAACCTTCCTGCTTTCTGACCTTTCGCCTTCCTGCAAGCTTACATTATTTTATAAACAGTGGTTGGCACAGGACTGCCGGGCAAGACATCCGGCTGATGCTATAAACTACAAGGGGATGTTTTGTACTGTGCTGTAAATGTAAAAATATAAAACTTGATTCATGTTGACAAACCCAAGTGGACTTGCATTATTGTGTCAGATGTTTGAATGATGGTGTTATACAGCAAGATATCTTTACTCAGTAGTCTGTGGAAAAACTAGATGAAAAGGCAGGTGGCTGCCTCGGTTCTGTACCAGAAACAAATTCCTTGTGTGTAACATACTTGGCCATATAAAGATGATTACGATTGAATAACTCGATCTCTACAATTACTAGTTTAATTGTGGCATATTTGACATTAGATTTACTTTCACTCACTCTGTGTTGTAGCCAGTCAAGTAAATATAAATACTTTTTGTCCGTCAATACATATCAGTGTAAGGAGGCTGTAATGACTTTATTTTAGGTCTGCAACTAAGCTTATAATCATTAGAGCTGCAATAATTCTGCAGTTAGATACTATAAGGGCTCAGGTGTGTTCACAGGTGATTGAGAGTTGAAAGCTGCCATGTAGGTCATCGTGGAGGTTAATTAGGCTACCTGTTGAACAGACATGATTATATATATTCTATGTTCAGAAAGGTGCAGGAAGAACCTCAAATTTCATTTCACATTTAATTATCAATGTAGAACTTTTTCCACCTAAACCTCATTGTTCTGTACAGCAGCTGTGTAAGTAGCATGGTGTTTTGATAACATTTTGTTTCTATGACTCCCCTATCCTGTCCCCTTCATCATAAACGGTCCATCCTGTGCTTCAAAGGCTGTGTGTGTTAGGAGCAAGCCTGCTGGTTTCCTCATGGTTGAAAGACTCTTTCATTGCTACCTATTGTGGCCTTTTTGTCCTCTAAACCACCACTTAGACACCAGTACCATATCATTATTACTGTTGCCCACCGCGGATACCTACTTAATTACATTCATGCCCACCATCCACGTGTCTTGTTGTGTGTCTTTACATGTGCCTAACATCACTTTATTAAGCTCAGAAGGTTTGGGGCTGCTGTTGCTGTGATGAGTAGCCAGTGATTTACCATTTTTGTTGTTGTGCCACTGAGCTTACTAAATCTCCCTGGTGTGAAATGATTGTTTCAGTGTTTCCAATGAGAGTAGAAAGTTGTTAATCACCGGTGAGTGGGTGTGCGGACTGTTCACACTGCCTGCCTGGAAGATGAATAGTTGTACTTGTACTGCTGCCCCTTTGTGGCTTCACTCCAGCCAGTAAATTAACTGTAAATGCATTACATGCCAGAAACCTTGGATTCACTAAGGTGGCATTTTTCCCTTTTGGCCCAAAGTACTTAATCTCCCCCATGTCTGGCCTGTTAATAGCTGTGTGTGTGAGTGTAAGCAGCTCAGCAGCCCAACTGATTAAATGACCATTATTAAGAGAGTATTATTGAAGTGTGCCTCCTAACTTTGTGTCCTGTAGTGCTGTTTTTGTGATAGTCCAACTGCAATATTGGAACAGTTTAATTAATCTGCTGGGCTAATGTTCATTCCCACAGTGCTTGGAGTCTGTGTGATACACATGGATACACTGTGTGGGCTGCTATATTAACTTATATGTTCAACTTTAATAAAACACATTTATTATTGTCTGTGTTGTGTTTTAAGGCTTAAACTAATGATTACGCTAGGCTAGCATAGTGTTTTGGGGGATATCAGTGCCAGTCAGTTGGTCAGTCCGTCATGCCACCTGACTAGATGTCTGTTTCTGTGACACTTGTGTCAAATTCTCATTATTAATATTAGTTACTATGTTTGCCCTTTTTAATTTTACATCCCTGACAAGGTTGCTTATTCTTTCCATTGCTTTAATTGAGTTTCCCTTTTGACTTCTGTGGCCCTTTAGCCCCTAACCTGGCACTCCTCCTCCATAAATGAGTGGTGTCTCTCCTTGCTGTCCTGCATTTGGTTGATCCTGAATGTGGTCAAGGGTGAGGCACGTGTTCTCCCGTTTTCCCCAGCTGAGCTGTCCTGTATAGAAAAGACTTCAGGAACCAGAGGTAGAAACAGCCATTGTTCTCCCTGTGGGCTCAGTGAAACCACCCTGTCAGAATGAGAGATCTCTGCCTACTTTCATGTAGACACAGAGGGGCCCCCCTGACTGCCATAATACATTTAACAGTGTGAAATTGTTCCTTAAGTGTCCAGCAGTGTGTGTGTGTGTGTGTGTGTGTGTGTGTGTGCGCCACATGCCGATGGAGATAGGTCAGTTCAGGTTTCCATGTCACCTTTTTCCTCTGGCTAACATTATGTAACGAGTGCATCACCGTTTGGCAGTGCACCACAGCCTCCCTCTTTCTAATGCTTATCACACTCCACCTGTCGCAGGCCAATGTGTCGGTGATAAAATGGTGCCTGTTCTTCCTGCTCCGTCATTAGCTAATTTGTCAAGCAGGCCTGTTGCTCTGTCGTCTGATCTGGGCCACATAGCGGGGCAGCACGGGGCACATGAAATTGTAACAGCTTAATGGGAGTCTGGGAACACACTTGTTGCTCGTAATCTTGGTTCCTTTCCTGTGATAGTGTTAAAGAATAGTGTAACCATTAGCCTAAATGAACATCTGAATGTGAACTCAATGTGCAGAGTTGTTGGAGTAAATATCATAAGGTGGGGTTGGGTTTTTGGTCCCTGTTTGAGAAAACTAAGCCACGTGAAGTTACTAATTAAGACTCGAGATGTAAGGATAACTGTGCATCTTAATTGCTATTTTATGGCTGTATGGATGTTTTGCTATTTAGGATTGGTGACACAACAGTGTATCCAAAGAAACAATACAGCTTTTTGGAAATATTTGTCTAATATGATTTTTGTGCCAATGTGATGAAACACTGTAATTTGTTAAGTACTTAATTTGCTGGATTAGCCAAAAACTCACATTGTTGTTTGGTTGTTTTATTCATAAACATTTTGTCCATTTATTTTCCAGGAAATCATATTTTGCTACATACCATTGGTGTAATGTAGAATGACATATATGATTGTTGGTTTTTATTCATTTTACAAATGTATCTGTAATGAATTCACAAAGTCCTCAACTATTTCTGACAAAGACTTAACAAAAGCAACAAATTCATATTGAATCTTTATCAGTAAGGTTTTTAAAAGAAATCTTGGTTTCCAGTTTTGGTAAGAATGTCTGCATTTGCCAAAGTAGTTTAATAGAGTTCATAGATTTTAAAGCTGAAATGTTGTTGTCAGTCACAACTGTGATAATACTTCAGAAAAACGGTAAAACTCAAAATAGGAACAAATGCTAATTTCACTTCATATGTATGAGGAAGTAAAATTGGTTTGGTTGCACAAAATAAGTTTTCCTGTCTAGCGTTATTATTAATGTGGTATGTAATTGTCTATGGACAAATGTTGCAAGTACAACTTGACTTTATAGGTGTTTATGGTTTTTTCCACCTGATTATATGGTTGTTCAGAGTCAGTGGGTGATTATTTTGGATAGATTAGGAGAAACAACATGGGCATTACATTACCGTGTGCAAAGTAGGAGTTTATGTGAGTTTAGTGGGGGTGGGTGGTGGTGGATGTAAAGATTATTAATTTGTTTCATTTGCTGCTATTTTTTTTTTCGTACTTTCGTTTCTACCAGCAGGCTTTTTGGACATCCAGGAAACAGCAGTGATGTCTCAATCTGGAGAGAAAGGGAAGGTGAGGACCAGGCAGAAATGTCAGCATGTCACAGTTCATTCATTTTTTCTACCGCTTAGTCCCTGAACGGGGTCACCGGGGGGGGGGGGGGGGGCATTTTAGGACACCAATCAAAAGCTGCATGTCTTTGGACTGTGGGAGGAAGCCGGAGTACCCTGGGAGAACTCACGCAAGCACGGGGAGAACATACAAACTCCACACAGGTCCCGGGTGGGGCCCAAACCCAGAACCTTCTCGCTGTGAGGCAACGGCGCTAACCACTGCACCACCGTGCTGCCCTCACATCACAGTTTTTCCTCTAAATTATGACACATTGACAGTTACAAAAGGGGTTTCTAATAAGAGGTAGTGATTAATATCACAATTCCTGTAAGCTTATGCACACATGCTTTCATCCAGAGAGGATATCCTAAGTAAAATGGAGGAAATCCTATACGTAGCACTAAAATTACATCATTGCTATCCCGCTTTAATTTGAGTTATTACATATACGTATTTATGACTTGTTCAGTACTTAAACTTACTTGTAGTTTCTGACTCTAATTTTGAACATTTTGTATGTGCTCTACAGTTCCCTGATGCAGCAGGTTATGTAGGGTTTGCCAACCTCCCAAACCAAGTGCACCGAAAATCTGTGAAAAAAGGGTTTGAATTTACCCTAATGGTTGTAGGTGAGAGATCATGCTTCTTTTCAGTGTAGAATATATATATATGTAGAGAATAGGGCTTTATTTCCATTCGTTTTGTTTTTCAGGGGAATCTGGTTTGGGCAAATCGACACTTATAAACAGCCTGTTCCTCACTGATCTCTACCCTGAACGCTATATCCCTGGTGCTGCAGGTATACTTCCTAGTACACACACATGCATAAAATTACACAAATATGCACAATGTAATAATAGAGAAATGTCTCCAGCAGAGAATTATTTGAAGAGGATTCTTGGGAATGCCTTAGTTTCAAAATATGCCTCTTATGACTGGATTAGGTTGAAGATTATTCAGGATGGAAAATGATCCCTGGTCAGTTTGTGCAGCAAAGAAAGTGTGTAACTCTTTAGATGACAAAACCAATGATTTCATTTTTTTAAGGGTTCACCACCTCCTTGATGCCTGTGCTTGTGGCAGCTCGGTGGCTTGTGTAAGCACGTAGCTCAGGCAGGAGTACTGGATATTAATACTACAGTATGAATGCACTTGGGTACTGAGTTGTCTCCTTTTATGTCACCCATCAGTTGTTCTTGTACTTCCACTCAACAGAGAAGATTGAGAGGACTGTGCAGATTGAGGCATCAACTGTGGAGATCGAGGAGAGAGGAGTAAAGCTTCGCCTCACCGTGGTTGACACACCTGGATACGGCGACGCCATCGACAGTCAGGACTGGTGTGTTTGTGTGCTGTGTAGGAGTGATGAGCAGCATGTGCTTTCATCCTTCCCTCCTGTCCTCAATAACAGTGCTTCTTAAGTTTCATCCCAAACTCCCTGTTTCCTACCTCTCCTCCCTCTGCATTCCATATGTCTAGATTTTCTTAATCTCTGAGAGTGTTCGCATGTTTGCTTGTGTGGCGTGCTCATGCCAGCAGTGATGTAGCCTCCTGTTGATTGACCTGCAGTAGCTGTATTTTTACAGTCCAGTAAGAGCTACAAAAAAGGAACTAATTATAAAATTAACAGCAACTTCCTCTTTGATTTCCTCTTGTAGCATTTGTCAGTGTTACAGTGTTTAGATTGTTAATGTTTAAAAAAGTAAATTGAGCCAAATTAGGTGAAGCATTTGTAATTAAGCACCGAACACTGCATTTACAGTAGAGTTCAACTGAAGAGAGATGAATTAAGGCAGGTAGAGCAGTGTTTGAGCAAATTTAAAGAACTGCAGTGATGATCTGCTGCTAAAAAAACAGACTGTTATTTTTAAAAGTTGATTTTCATACTGTCCTGCGTGCCTAGAAAGTCATTTTTAGCATTTGTCAATTAAACAACGTCACACCTGCTTATCAGTCATAACCAGCGCTTGTGAAAATAGCTTTCCCATTATAAAAAAGGGGAAAGATCACTGAGAAATGGAACCGGTTAGGTGATAAGCCTAGATAACAAAATGTCAACTTTTCTGCAGCTATATGAAGAGCAAGTGTAACTGTTCTTTAACCATCTGTATCTGTAAAGTCTGCCCAGTGATGTTTAATCTGTTCTTTTGTGTATAGTGGAACATAAACCCCATTAACTTAATTTAACCCATCCATCCTTACACCAAACAGGAGAGAAAATAATTTATCAACAATGATATACTGATGAATGACATATTTAAGGAAAACCTAAAGGCTTGACAGTAGGGGGAATGTTGTGGCTCTGTTATGCTATTGTGGGCATTTTGCTGGCATAGCTTGGGACAGCTTGTCCCCATAGAGGGAAGGGTCACTGCAAATCTATACAGAGTTGTTCTGGGTGGTCCCCTTTAGCCTATGATGACGTGCAATCAGATTTCTATTCTGACGGGTCTCTTCCAGGCTGACTGTGTCCCTCATCATATGGCACAAGGGATCATTGAATAGTTTGATAATATGAATTATGCGCTGTGGCCTTTGCAGCCATTAGATCTCAACCCAGTTGAAGAATTTTGACTGACTTATTAGACAGCTTCTCCACCACCATCATCAAAACACCAAATGAGGGGATATCTTTTGGAAGAATGGTGTTCATCTCTCCAGTAGAGTTCCAGAGAATCTATGCCAAGGGGGGCTGAAGCTGTTCTGCTGACATGTGGTTGCCTGACACCTTACTAAGACACTTTTTAGTTTTTTTTTCTTTCATTTGTCATCCATCTGTATCTCCTCTGACACATAAAACTACACTACTGATTCAGAGGTCCACAAGAATATTTTGCTTAGTTTCACTTTGAGTGAGGATCCTTACAGACTTGGTACTTGATTTACTTTTTTTCAAGCTGGCTATGTTAGTCTTTATAAACAAATAATGTTTACATGGTTACTTGGTGTGATTAATAAGGGTTATGTGTCTTTGCTAGCTTCAAGACCATCATCCAGTACATTGACAATCAGTTTGAACGATATCTCCACGATGAGAGTGGGCTGAACCGAAGACACATTGTGGACAATAGGGTGCACTGCTGTTTCTACTTCATATCTCCATTTGGACATGGGTAAACAAGCAAGCACTCACTTGTACAGACACCAGCTGTGAGCTGAGGTTGATGACATTTTTCCCCAGTCGAATTTTCTCACGTCTGTCATCCGTACATTTGAGATTACCTGATATGAGGAGACAGAAAATATACGTCATAGTTTTTAAAACATGTATTTGAATAAGTCATTTATTATTTGGTCTGATTTTGGTATATTTTAGTTTTAAGACATTTTAATTTATAAACACCACCAAGCAGCCATTTGATGCAAGTACTTCCTCATTTTGGATGTTTCAAAATAAGGCACCTCTCGCTTGCTAGTAAAGCTGTGAGCTAGTGTTACATCATAAACATTTGGTAGATTGGTTTCTGTCTTTGGTTAGCATACACATGCAGTGACCAGGTGCTCTCTTATAGTGAAGAGTGAGATAAATATGAGTATGAACTGTAGTTCTTATCTCTTATAAATTTTACCTTTTAAATTTTGTTTTTTCTCACAGTGCCAATGGACTTCTATAACGTTCCCCAATTTCTCAATGTTGAGTCAAATCTCTCCTCCTTTTATTTTCTTTCCCAGTCTAAAGCCTCTGGATGTGGAATTTATGAAGGCCATCCACAGCAAAGTCAACATAGTCCCAGTCATTGCCAAGGCTGACACACTGACACTGAGGGAGAGGGATCGCCTAAAGAGGAGGGTGGGTTTATAGAACACATACATACACATGCTTGTGTCCACTCTTTTCTGTATATGCTATATGTAATCATCTTTCCTCTTGATTAGATTTTTGGCTCAAGGAAACAGCTGGACCATTTTAGCACCCGTTGTCAGGATGTTGATGACCTTTGGTGCTTTTTTGAGTTTGTTTTTATCCCATCTGCAGGTGTATGGTTTAGCCATTAGAAAGTGGATCACTGAGCAACGCCCTAATATTAGCAAAATCACTTGTCCGGCCTTTTTGGCAGCAGTGCATTTGAGTGAGAAACACTGTGTGTACTTCCCCATGTAATAGCTATGTGTGTCTTACATTTTTGCGGTTTTAATAAGACAGCTAGATTGTTCAAAAGTATAGGGAGGGACAACATATGAGAGGAAATGGCAGGAGGGACACCCATAGGAAAAGAGTGTTGTATATGATACATGAATCACATCTCATCCAGATACTTACTGTTGGAGGCTACCCAAGTGTCTGCCTGCCTGCACGCTCCTCAGTTTCCTGCTGCCTAGAGTGGGAAGGACAGAGTAGTTTGATATAACGGACACACACACCTCACAGTAACGCATTCAGCGGATAACCTTCTCTCCTCACTCTTTTTTTTTGTTGTTTGTTTCTGCTCTACTACTAATACAGTGTTCCTTTAGGAACTCTAGCACAGTGTGTAGCCAACAGCAGTGTAGTGGGACATGATAAAAGTGGGGCAGCAGAAATATCAGTATCAGTCAGATCTTATGCCTTTGCTGCTGTACTGTGCACCGCACTATGTGTTCAGCAGTTTGTTCACATGCTTTGCTAAATGTGCCCTTAGAGGCATTTCCCACTGTACACTAAGGAGCAATTAGGTCCAACAAAATGGGCAAGCGCACGCACACAGGCCAACACACAAATCTACTCTTAAAGGAAAACTTGTTTATTTCTAAACTACATTTATACATGGGTCGTTTTTGTACTGGATGAAGTTTAAAAAGACAAGTTTACGATTTGTTTCACTGTATCTAATGAGAGTAAGTTGCTGGAAAAGTCATTATTGTCAGGAATGCAGAGGATTATTTGAGCTGTTGGCCCCCTGTATTTAGGAATGGCATTGTGTGTCCCTAAGGAGGACATATTCTTCCTGATTTTGCTTGTTTATTCACATTTTGAGTATACACGTTTTATCTTAGTTGTAAATTAGTTTGCTCCCGTGGTACAGCAACTCTGTACATTTCTTTCTGTGTGTTTCATATTTATTCTGAAGCCCTTTTTAGCTGGAACAGAACTGGCTGCATTTATATGCATTTTATTTATGAATATTTTTGACAGTAACCTATTTAGAGAAATGGAATGTAGACTGAAAGGTTCGTATTCCTCTGATAGCAATGCAGGAGGACAAACGGGAAGATTGTGATTTGTAGATGAGTGTCCCTCGCCTAGAGTGAAAAATTGAACCAAAAGCTAAGTTGTTTTTCACAGCTGAGCAGTGGGTTATGAGTTCACACAAGGTCAAGTGAAATTTGTACAGCTGTAGAGACAGTCCGCTGCCTACAGCATCCAAGTTGTGTAACAATTTTAAAAAAAATGGTAGTGGCATATCACTAGGCAGGTTCCTATGACATATTATGGTAGAGCTTATATAAAAAACACTGAGTGATATCTGATTACTGACTATTTCAGGTGCATTCACAATAATCAGACAGTTGCAGCTAGTGTAAATGTGCTGTTTTATTTCCTGCCTTTATTTATAAAACTGATCTGTTTTCTTGTACGTGATCATTGTAAATGTGAGTTGTCATAGTAATGTACCCAAGTGTCTCTAAGGAGAACAAATATCTGGCCTGAGTATTTGTTGGTTCGATCAGATTAGTTTAAGTGACTCGGGTATACAGTACGCGCCTGATTCCTGCCATTCAGTCCCCTACAGTGTAGCAGGGCACCAGACCTTCCTTTGAGGTCATAGTACCAGCAGCCAAGAATCTGCCACAAAGCCAAAGCTGGCGAATGATTGATAACCCCCAGGGTCACTCCTACTGTGTTTATTAGTTTTTTCCAAGGTACTTTCTCACTGTCTGGAGCCATTTGTTTCAGTATTCGTGACCCCCCTCCTCTCAAGGCTCCTTTCTCTTATTATTAGGGGGGAAACTGCTTGTACAGAACAATATGTTTCCTCCAAGGCGTTAAGACTGTTCCACTGACAAGACACAACCTGCTGCCCTGTGCAGCTCGGCTCATGGACAAAGTGAATAAACTTATATTGTTCAGCTTTCACTCTTGCAGTACTGCTTGGCCCTTTGCTGGCAGTGCCTCTCTCAGCTGCCTCTCACTTTCTTCCTCTGTTTCTTTGTATCCTTTTTTCTGAACTTGCTCTAATGCCAATTTCCTCAGCAGGGTTGCTGTAGTCTCTGTTGCTCTGAGGAGGGTATACTGAGGGACTGATCCTCTCAGTCTGGGACCTTGTAGTCATATCCTGTGTGGGGCTTTAGTCTCCAAACTGCTTTATTGGTTCTTTTTTGTTTGAACATAGAGGACGGTAAACGGCTGGTTTAGACCAGAATTGTGATGGAAGTAAAAAAAATAAGTGGACGCCTACTTCTACTTACAACAGATTGCTTTTCGTGTGTGATTTGCAAATAACTCTGATGCTGGAACAACTGATAATGTGGTCAACAGAGAATTAATCTCATTTAAGTCCATTTTGTAGCAAAAATGCTCATGATTCTTGTTTTTCTTGTTCCACACTCATCTTGTTGCTTCCCTCATCTCCTACCTTCTCTCAGCCATCATCTTGTCTTTCCCTGTCTGCCTCTGCTTACGGTGTTCAATGACATGGGTTTTCAACCTGTGCTCCATTGGTGGTCTGTGAAGATATTGGAGGTTTTCCCTGACTATACGTTCAATTATCTAGTTTCTCTGTAAGAATTTTTTATTTTTATTTTAGTTTTTAAAACCCATTTTCATGTATTACTCATTGCTTGTGAATGATCAAATCCATGAAAATATATAAAATTTGAAAAAGCCTAGCTGACTTGCAGGGTTAAAATAGTGCCCATCTGGTCTATCAACCCCATAACAACTATACATCCAATACTATATTTTGTCTTTTTTTTAGGTATTTTGATTTGTTCTCAGGGATTAATTGTGGGAGGGTCATTCTTGTTCTTGATTGTCTCTCAAATACTATATTTTGTTTGGTTTTTAGGTACTTCTCAAGATATGTGTGTGGTGTTTGTTCTTATGGTGTTCTGTTGCTGCTCTGTATTGCTGCTGGAACACAGGAATTTCCCCAATGTGGGATCAATAAAGTCATACCTACCGACCTAACAGTCCTGAGGTTACTTCCTAGTGAAAATGATGGCCCCTGGGTCACAAGTTAGTTGAAAACCTGTTCTATGAAGAACCCTCCCTTCCTCACCTTTGTCCCCTCAGGTGCCATTTTTCACCCTTGGCCGAGGCACTGTTACAGTTTTCCTTTCATTGTTGTCTTCCCTAGTGGCTCCACTATACTCCAAGTGTGTGAAAAAGTTTTACAGCCCTGCTGGGACATATTACCTTCGCCGGACTGCTCCCACTGGCCAGTATTGTTGCCAGGTTTTCTTAAATGGCAATAACAGAACGTGAAGCAGTTTTAGCACTGAGAGTAAAGTTCAGCATTCAGATCTAGTAAGCTAGAAAAGGAAATTATGATGCAGGTATAGACAACTCATTGATTATGCGAGTTTGGTGTCTCAGATGAAAAACTCAATTTTAAATAATGGTGCCCAATGAGTAAAGATGGACTGATTACTTCATTCTTACCCCACTGCTACTGTGTATGTGTGTGTGGGTGGGTGTGTAAGTGTATGAGTCCCCTATGAGCTTGTGCCTGCTTCTTCTCCTGCCAGTGTTTCAAGCACGCGGATATATTTATTTTTCTGCCCTCCAGCAGTCATGGTGCCAGGGCATGCTCTGCAGATTTTAAAACAATAAATATGCTTTTTCCCTTATGGAGCAAACAATTCTGTTACATACAGTCATCTATTCTCAAGTAAAGAAAGTACAAGCCAGCTACAGTGTGAAAACAGCAAGTTTTCTTGTTCAAAGGCTGTAGGGTATGGTTCGTATTACCATTGCTAACTCTGAAAGACGAGGCAGTCCAAGTAACTTCAAAACAGTGCTGATATATTCAAAGGATCACAGGTAAAATTAACATAACACACTCAAGTATCTTGCACCTCCAAACTGCACGCAAGCAGATGTAAGATGAAAGACCCTGAACCCACCAGGCCTATACATTATATCCCCTCGGTTGGGCTAGCACCATACTACACAGAAACGTCAACAGAGACGTCTCTGTTGCCAGCCTTGCAGCTGGCCATAGCAGTAGTCAAAACATGAAGCAAATCAATGTGTGTGTGTGTGTGTGTGTGTGTGTGTCTGTGTCTGTGTGTCTGTTGATTAAGTGGTGTGTAGCTAAAAACATTCTCACGACCTCTAGTAACATGTCGTGGCTTAAACATAAGAACATATTATGGCTAAGGCTACAGTTATACACGTCGTAATAATAATATTAAACACCCTGTCTGCTGACAGTCATCAACTTTTCTCTCTAGTTATCCTTGACCAGATGTACCTTGTAGAAACTCATAAGCATGACTAAGCATTTAACAGTCTAACTAGACATCCTATCTCTACTAAACATTTCTAATACATAAAGTATCTACCCAATATCTATCTGACTACAAATACCTAACAAGGCCAACCTGAAATGATGGTTTCCGGACTTTGCTGTGTTGCTAATGGGTCACTTTTTACTGTTGAGTTTACCATTAAAATCCTCTTTGATTACCAGACCAAGTTGTTAAAACCTCAAACTCACATGGCCAGCTTCTAAATCTCACTTAAATACGAGATTACATGAATAGACTGATTGTTCCTCTCCATGCTCTTTGATCAGAGGAAGAGGTGGGTGGTCTTAACTGTATCACTACTTAGCCCAAACAATAGGAGTGTGTGAGTGCATTGATCACTGTTACTCATATGATGCCTTCACGGTTCCATGGTTATGGGACTGACTTTTCATCATGTAGCAGTAGATCGCCTAGAAGTCAGAGTGGCTCAAGATGTGGGCATATCTCTCTTGCAGGCCACCTCTATCTCTTATAGTCCACTGGCCTTCTGGAGCTACAAAGGTTCATACACACAATGCTTAAACTCTTTTCCTACTCCTGAGGCCAGATTAAACCTGTTCACAAAGTGAGGCAGTGGTTAGCTATGTGTACGTGAAAGTATGTGTGAGTTTGTGCATGAGGCTGGTATGAGGTCTAAATCCCTCGGACGAAACCCCCCCCCAGATCAGGGAATTGTTGGGGCTCCTTCAGTCCCCTAGACTCCCTGCAGGCAGGAGAGAGCCAGTTAGATGAAAGGCGTTTCCGGGTAAGAGGAAAACATTTACTGTATTCTCATGTGTCTTAAGGTTAGCACATAAGTTTAGGAGCTTAAGGAATAGTAGTAAAAACAGTACAGTAGCTAAGAATCAGCTTTTTCTTTTCATGCTGTCAGACATCTGTTGTTTGTCTTGTAGTCAAGGTGTGTGATATGTGTTGTCCAAAATATTCATTACAATAATACACAGACTGTAGGAATCCAGTTTATACCGGTTCTCATCACAGTCTTTTTTTTTTTTTTTTTTTTTTTGCCAAAATGTAGTTTGTTGATTTGTTTTATGGGGCAAGGGACCATATTTTTACTTTTGCAGAACTCCTGTTTTATACAGTTTTTTTTAGCTGGAATTCATTAGACCCTCTGGGGTTTCATTCGTCTCAGGACAGATTGAAGCTTGATGCTTCAGCTGCATTAGGACAGCTCTTCTAATGGGAATTAGCTGTTGATGGGACTGAGATGGAAAAAAAAAAGAAAGAAAGAAAAAGCCATCAGTTTCCCTTGGAATATTTGTGTAGCCAGTTGAGGAAGCAACTCAGCCATCATATCATGTCTTGTGCTATTTTATTAGTAGTAACACAATACGGTAACTGGAGATGTGTGTGTGTGTGTGTGTGTGTGTGTGTGTGTGTGTGTGTGTGTGTGTGAGTGTCTGCAGTCTACAATTATGATTGCACAATAGCAATTGTAAAGCAAAAGTAAGTAGACGTAACCACATACAGCATAGATGTGCGACTGAAACAGCGTTGGATTCTGAAGATGATAAAATAAAATGTGCTTCGCTAGAAGCTAGTTTGGGCAGTTTTGTGTATTTCACACAAAACATTGCAGAAACTGGCAGGCAGATGTCAAGCTATGTAAACATTATGTGAACATGCTGAGATGCAGATTGTTTAGTGTTGTGGATCCCCCCCCCCCCCCCCCTTTTTTTTTCTTTTTTTTTTCTTCTGTGATATATGTTTCTACTTCCAAGTATTTTTTCACTGCTAGAGTTTTAGTTTAATGGATACAAACATCATGCCAGGCCAGAGCAGACTTAGTTCTGTCCTCAACAGTCACACTAGAACACTGTGTAATTGTGAGCGTGTATTTGTGCATGTGGTTACCATTTCCAGTGTCAGGACAGCAGTGTCATTTTGTCTTTCCTCTTTACACTGGCAGATCTTTGTTTCTTGAAATGTTGTTTGTTCCAAATTCATTTGTCATTGCTTAGTGGGTGTTTGACTCATCCACATTTTTGCGGGTTTGTATGAGAATGAGCGAATCATGAAAATACTATTCCATGGCAGGTTGACATGATGAAACGGTTGATCCTGTAATGATGAGTTTGCACCCTGTTTTATTATAATTGGTGGTTGTGGTTCCACCTGCTGTGCCATTGCTGAAAAACCGCATAGCCATGAATTCACCCTCTGTAATTACATCTATGTATAGACCTGCAGGTACGCTATATTTGGGCTGCACATAATTGCTACAGTATATGTGTGATATTCTTAGACCTTGAGTGAGTCTGACCTTACACTAGAAATACATGATTCATCTGCAATTTGACTTTTTTTTTTTGGTACGTCCCCATCTACTCTCACACTTACCATAACTACCTGACATAACGGAATATTTCCACAAACAATGCCTCATATTAAGCAATGTGAGCCAGAAGCATAATGTCGTGAATCTTTGTCTTCCTTTTCAAATTAATACTGAGGCAATACTGTATGGCATTGTTTGTCCACTGCCTTGGCAGGACTGAGCGCATCTGCATGGCCAACCATAACAGCACAAGGAGGGTTGGTGGGGGTTGTATTAGAACCGGACAGGATGGTCATAAAATCAAAATGGCTCCCGCTGCCAGCATCTCTGTGCCAATGAAAATACACAACTTCGAGGAGGAGGAGAGGGAGGAGAGGCTGTTGTTAACATTAGGGATTAAGGCTTACATTGTGTACAGTAAATCAGCAGGAGACAACAGGGATTTAGAGCAGGCAGTGATTTTGACATCAGATGATCCCTGAGAGGTCTTGATTATAGGTGTCAGACCTTACTAAGCACATGTTACGGAACAGAATAATTCAGGTAAACAGCCATTTTGCAGCTTTTGGTCTGGAAATAGATAATGGCTGACAACACATTCATGTTTATGCAATGGCCAGATGATGTTTGTGGGTATTTAATAGTAGTTTTGCATTCATAAAATATATCATTCTGTCTTCACTGGTTGTTCATTTAACTGATTTCTTATTTGCCTTTTAGTTTTGATTTTTTCCCCCCTATTTTATTGCATTTGAATTTGTCTTGCTCACTGCATTTATTTGTTTCATTTTTTTCCCACCATTATATCACTCGTTATTTTCCCACTGAGTGTACAGTTTCTCGAAACACTCCATGCTCTGCCCCACTAGAGTGATGTTTGTCCAGCCTCCATGTTTTTTTTTGGTGGGGGGATCTGTAAATCATGTTTGAATGAATGAAGGAAACAGAAGCTCTGGTCCTATGTCACGCTCTTCTCTGCGTCCTGCAAAGCCTGTTTGTTTATAGATCTGCCCCACAACAATAGCCAGCTCTCCCTGCACACACACTATCTCGCAGAGTTCACTGAGAAAATAAATGACAGCCCTAACAAAGGCTCAAACAGGAGCTGCGCTCTGTAGGAAAACCTGCGTTCACTTCCCAGGCCCGTGGCCAACTCACCACTGTCCCGTTGTACAGTACAGTACATGAAAGTTCCCCAAAAGTCAGGAAAACAACATATGACATTTTTGGCTCCATTTCATAAGACTACATTGTGGGTTTAAAAAGTCTGCTCTAGAAAACAAAAGAAAAATGCAGCTTTGATGTTTAGAATAATAAATAGTGACGTCTGTCCCCGAGGTAGCGCTGAAGAAAGCTCCTTTGTTTTAACTTGTTTCTTCACCAGGCAGCCTGTGAATAAAGGAGGGTGAAACGTTTTCAAAATTTGAACACATATAGTTACTGTGCACCTGTCTGGCCTTTCTGTCTGTCACACCCATTTTCCTTCATGGGGGGTTTTAATTAAATGAGCTGTTGCAACAGATAGTCACCCACATCCTCCCATTAGTGCACGTGGCTCTCTTGCTTTCTGTTTATGGGTTAAAGCAGCAGCTGTTATTTTTCCTGTGTGATTCACCGTTTACAGTAAAGGTACTCGATTAATGCATATGCTGTGTGTGTGTGTGTACATATATCACTGATGTTAGGTTTAGGTTATATTTTAAAAGTTTTAAGGCAAGATAAACTAAGTCCAGCATGAGAACAGCAAACGTTACAAGAACAGGTGCGTGTATAGATAAGTATTTTTAAAAACTAGAGAACTATATGCATTATAAGCATCTACGACACACAAAATGAAGCATGGGAAAAATAAATACTTTTTTTTACAAATGGAAATATTTTAATTTAAATGTATTTTGAAGGAAATGATCTTTGGTGGCAGTGACAGGGAGAATGTTTTACTCTTTTTAAATGAAGTGGTTTGTGAGATGTTTGGTTTCCAGACTTCTAGAATACAGATTGATAATAGAAAGTCAAGCTGTAATGGCAAGGTTCAGGGCTTTTTCCTGAGCTAGGGGACATGTTAGGAGGTCACGACACTGCCTCCACAATCACTGGGTTTCTCTTTTTTCCTCCTTTTAGATCCTGGATGAGATCGCAGAGCAAGGGATCAGAATTTATCAGCTACCTGATGCTGACTCTGATGAAGACGAGGAGTTCAAGGAGCAGACCAGAGTCCTGAAGGTGAGAAAGGGAAGAACACCTGATGCCGGCGGTTACGAAGCTACGTCAGAAATGTTTCCTCTCCTGGTTTTGTGATAGATACCGTCCATTCTCTTTCTGCTCATCCTCACAGTGCTTCTCTGATACCTTTATTTTCCTCATCTCTTTCCATAGCCTTTCTTCTGACTTTGTTTCTCACTGGGGGATCCACTGACCTTTACCTTCCTATCGCAGGCCAGCATTCCCTTTGCTGTGATTGGCTCCAACCAGCTGATTGAGGTGAAGGGAAAGAAAATCCGTGGTCGTCTTTACCCCTGGGGAGTTGTTGAAGTAGAGAACCCTGAGCATAATGACTTTCTCAAACTACGCACCATGCTTGTGTGAGTTTCCCTGGTAGTAAAACAGATAAAGTAATGGGATATTCAGAAGCAATGTTTTTAAAAACTTGACAGAAATTTGTCTTAATTAAGCTGGTTGCAAAGAGCTACTAGAAGTGTGGAGCTCTAAAAAGCTCTACTGCCTTCTAGTGGGTGAAGATAAGATTGCTTGTCTATTGCTTGCAGGACACACATGCAAGACCTCCAGGAGGTAACTCAGGATCTCCATTATGAGAACTTCCGCTCAGAGAGGCTGAAGAGAGTGGGCAGGTGAGGCACTCATTTATATCACTTAAACAGCAGATGAGCTCCTGTTTCAAGCAAGGTTAACAATATTTAATGTGCTGTTTCCTTGCAGGGCTGTGGATGAGGATGTGGTAGATAAAGACCAGATTCTGCTACAGAAAGAAGCTGAGGTAAGAACACACAGCAAACTCTTGTCCTTTCTTATCTTACTTTGTGCTGAAATGTGGCTCGATTGGCTCTGCTGTAAGAAATAGGACAAAATGTACTGTCCTTCTGTTTTTATGTACACAAGCCATTCAGCTTTTGATAATACTTAGCAGTAAATTTTATGCTTATGCTTAATTTGTGGTGAAAAAGAAGCTTCAGCAGTTTGAGCTGCGGTGTTTTTAGTACAAAATGGGCATTGCCTTTGTACACGGAGCACAGTAAATCTTGTGCTTAAAGCTACAACTATTTACAGTAATGACTCACATTTCCCCATTCATGCAAGTAATTTGCACAGTTTTTTTTATACTGCATTTTTACCTATCTTTTTACCCAGTGGATTCAGTTCCTGTGAGTATGCTATTCAACTCACAGATATTTAAAACTTTCTCATATAGCTAATGTATCATAATGAAACACACGTTCACACTGCTTTTCATTAAAATCATAATTACTGTGTTTTACAAATATGGGTCTGTTTTTTTGTTGGGCGTAACACCTGAACTTTTCATTTTGGAAACTGAAGCAGTTTGGCAAAATATTTCAAAGATCATATGTTGACTGCATGCTTTGGAAAATGACTGGCACTAACACAGGTGAGAACAGAAATACTTATTTCTTCTGAACATGCAAAACCACTTGTGTGGTTTGTGTTAATTGTTGATTCCATCCCAGACCTTTTGTTTCCATTCACCACCCTCCATTTGAGTTTCTCTGTTAAATCCAAAATGTTATAAAAAAGATTTGAAGAAAAGCCTTTGTTTATCCTTGCTGAACTTTGGTGGAGGAATACATCCTGGAGATACCACGATAAAGACTGGGCTTGACTGGGCTAACACACATATTACAGGAAAGCTGGAATAGGGAGGGTTCAGCTTTCAGTCTTCATATGGACATGTGGTTATTCAGAATCAGAATCACAATCAGCTTTACTGGCCAGGTGTGTTGGACACATGAGAAATTTGCCTCTGGTACAGTGGCATGTGTATGTACAGTGTTCTTTTGTAAAGTAACAAGTCGACAAGTAAACAAGATAAGCCTGAGAGAACAACAAAAGAAAAAGAATGTACATTAGGAAAAAATAAAATTCTTATAAATATTCAAATATATACACACAGTTGAGATGCAGTTTTTCAGATAGATACATACAAAGTATTGCACCGAGGGTTATCTTTCTGTTTTACAGTCATGTATAACAGTCATGTTATTCTATTAAGACAGAAAACTGTCAACTTCTCATTATGACTATATGGAATTTTGGAAAAAGAAAAAAAAGTCATATTTTCACTCCACTGTTTCATACACTAACTTTTTGGCTAAGGGCCTGCATCAGTCCTGTCATCAGGCAGTAACCGGTTTCCTGATTGCCCTTGATTGTCCTGTTTGTGTTACCGCTGCAGTGCACTGTAGCGAGTGGGCCGGTGCAATCAGAGCTGTTTGTAGACAGCGTGCCCAGGAAGGATGTGCCATCACTTCTTCTCTGGATGTCTTGGCCCAGTTTTATGATGGGATTGACTTCAGTAATGAGAGGAGCCGTAAACACAAAGCTGGAGAAACAGCTAACTATTGTTACTTATATTTATAATAAATATAATGGAATAACAGACTCTTTTCTTCATAGATCCCTAGATAGCAGCTGATGGGTAACTGTTTATTTGTAAGGTTTCTGGAAAGAATGATGTAATTTTGTAATAAAAACAAGGAAAATGTAGAAATTTTCAGTTGTTATGCTTCCAGTTAATTGATTCAAATAAATTCACGTCATTGCACAGCAGGTCAGCTGAATATGCAGAAATGTCAACTGCTTAATGCCCTGACTTTTTCTTAACAACTCAACTTAAAGTGGTGCTGTAGTTACTCTCACAGTAAAGTTTGTATTTTCCCTGTAACTAGTGCCAAATTACACTTGTGTCCATGCTGCTTTTCCCCCAGACATTATTAATAAATTATGGAGGCCTTAAAATAAGACATTGCATATGAGTTCATCCTTAAGGTAAATAATCATATGGTGACTAAACATATGGAATCTGTGACAAAGTTCGAAGTAATACTGCATTTAAATTGCCAGACAACTGTAGAATCCTTTAGCTGTCCTGAAATAACTAAATTTGTGCTTCCAAACACATAAGAAGACAGGAAGGAATGTAAAAAATGTTTTATTGTGGGTAAACCTCTTAAAATGAAAGTCTTGTCACAGCCACAAGGTGGTGATAGACAACAACGAAAGCTATAGGATGATTGTTATTTAGGAGGGTGACCTGTGTTTTAAAATGATGAACTTTATATCCTCGTTATTTTGACCAGTTACTTATTCATAGTTATACAGCTTAGCTCTTTTCAATATTCTGAAGCAGTGTTGGAGATTGTGAGGGCAAGTAAATCCTAATCATTTCCACATTTTCATGTGGGAAAAAAATCACCATATTTAGGGAGAAAATGTAGAGAAATATTAGGTTATGAAATGCCAAAGTACAGCAAGATACTATATCTTAGATTAACAGCAGTAGAAGTTACATAAGAAGTAACTTGTATCTTTAAAATTGTATTGGTTTCCTGTAAAAAAAAAAATTAAAAATTAAAAAAAAAGCAACTGGCATAGAAAGGAACCTCCCAGTTTTAGAGTTATGGATAAGTCAGTTTGAACCATATAATCTTATCTAGATATTTGCTACCGCAATTTCACTGTTTTGATGTTCTTCAGCGATCTTTACCTACCTGCAGAGGAAACCAGGAGTTCTCATTTCTTGTCAGCTACTAATACTAGCAAGCATTATGTGAAGAAATAATGCACTTGTGTTTGGTCAGTAAAAATATCAGTTATTTAGAAACAACTGAAACTTCCTGATATGACGGTGTGATTGGTCCTTTTCTGTAATCTTGTTTTTATTTGTCTTCTTTCTCTTTAGCTGAGACGCATGCAGGAGATGATCGCTCAGATGCAGGCGCAGATGAAGATGAAGTCAGATGAGTAAAAGGGCCAGAACAGAAAGGAAGCACGGTGATCCCAACCACCTAGCACACACACACACACACACACACACACACACACACACACACACATCTGGTCCTCATCTGTGTCCATCCCTGCCTGCCACCACCTGCAGACACACAGCAAGTCCAGGTGGATCACGTCATCTTTTTCTGCACACCACTGCTACGTCTTCCCTCCATACATCCATCCATCAGCTGGTCAGGACCTCACCACCTATGGTTTTTATTTTTCAAAACTCCATTTAGTGCTGAGTAGAAAACAAGATAGAACCACCAAAATGTAGACATCAGTTATTTAGTCTCTAATTGTCATTATGTTCCACAGGGCTGGCAACTTACTAAGGGGCTTTTAGAGTCACACTAAAATGTTTACAAAAATATATGTACGAGTCAAAATGGCACCATTGTCCATTTACTTTGCTATCAGGTTATGACACTTCTGAACATATTTTAACTTAAAAGTGAAAAGCAGTTTGCTTCTCATGTTTTCTGGTGGCTGATGAGACAGTGAGTAACCATCACTTTTACTGTTCTGGGTGGTTTCAGCCCTTCACGGCCCGTTTGCTTCAGACAGATAATGCAATAACTATAAATATGTGAAAGGTAAGTGATGCTGTGAGTGAGGTAAAACCTTATCCGTCATTACAAATTTAGCTCTAGGCTTTTTTGTCTTTGCTTTTATGCTTTAAATTTACTATATGCAAGTATTCAAACTAATCCCACTGAATTTTAAAGAGAAACAAACCATAGGATCATGTTATGGTATAAGCAGTGCCATATTGTCTTCCAAAGCTGTATGCTGCTGATGTCTACAAGTGAAAAGGAAGCAAACTCCTCAGTCATGTTGTCATTTCATGTGTAAACTGTTTGTACACTACATGGGCAGCCTTACATCATCATACTGTATTTGGGCTTCCCCGTTTAAAGATCAAAACAATAATATTTAACTGCACCATGTGTAACCTCCTCCAGTCGTCTGTGAGCAGCAGATTAAACGTCCTAACTTTTCTTCAGCGGTGCCAACTGTGCACTCATTGTTGTCGTTGCTATTATTTTTGTCATATGCAAATTTGTTTGTTGAACTTATTAAAACGAACAAGTATTTCTTAACCATATGTCAGTAAAGTCTTTTTAGGCATCAGTTTTGTTTTGTATTTCTTTTTTGAAATAAAATTAGAGGGAAAAGCGTTGATTCTGGAGTTACTTCTGACTGACTGACAGATTCATAGGATCTAGCTATAATGTGAACCACAGTATTTGGAAACTAGCAAAATGATTTGTTTTTCACAAGAACAGCTGTTTATTAAAATGTAGACAACAGACCTGTGTGACACATGCTCATTGTGACTTGTCATTTAATTTGATCACTTTTATTGGCCAAGTATGTTATACACACACACACACACACACACACACACACACACACACACACACACACACACACACATTGCATGCATTTATTTATTTTTTAATTGTTTACATTTATTTCTGTGAGAAACATTTTTGCTGCTGGCTTCATGGTCTTTCCTGTCAGCAGAAGTCCAGTGAGGAACTATTCAGTATATTTTATTTATGCTCAGTCTTGTTGAGGAGTTGTGGGCCTAAGTCGCCAAACTGTCACTGGCAGCAGCTGTAATAAAAAGCCTTTAATATTGCATGTTATAGCAAAAATTAGGCGTTTTTTTTATCTTAGTCCCATAATCAGTGTAACTTTTTTATTGTCCATCTGTTTATTTGCATTAATGTCCACCTGTGTCCGGTTTATATTAATATGATCATGTTTAGGATAAATATGGCAGGTTTTTT